TTACTGACTTTGAGTTGATAAAACTAATAAATGAAGGAATTACTCTTTTTTTATCTATGCAATAAAGAATAATTTTAATCTAACTAGTAATGTTCGTATATATATATGTATGTTATATATGTATATATATATATAACAAGTTTATATATATATATAACAATGAATATATAACTGTAATTAAATATATTTCTAAACAGATATGTAATAAGCTTAGGGTATTTAAAAGGCGACTATAATTTATTTGCTTATACTCGTATTATCATAACATGCGCCACGTTCTCTTTTATTTCTACTGGCCGTCAGCTGATAAACGGAGCGTATGTCAACGAAAGCTAACAACAGAGAGAGCTTTTCGAGTGGGGCCGTGGGCACGTGAGTTGTTGCTAGCGAGAGCTTTGCTGTGCGGGCGTCTCTCGCTCTCGCTCGCACTCTGCAATTAAAAGCTTAACTCAACAGCCGCTGGCGCTCAGCTGCTCGGTGTTTATTAAAGTATATTTTCCCATAAGTCAGGTGACTTGAAAAAGTTAAAAAAAAATTGTTTCATTAAAATGGGCACCGGCAAGAAGAATTACCAAGCACCTGAGTGGCTGACCGTGGAATTTCTGCAGGATGTGCTGAAGGAGCACTTCAAAGAGGAGTCGCTCGTCGTTAGCGATTTGCTAGTGAAAAGCGCCCAAGTGGGCGATGTGGTTGTTGGCTTTGCCAGTGAAATGCATCGCGCCTGCTTCAATCTGCAGCGCGGCAACGTGAAGAGCAAGTTCTCGGTGTTTGTCAAGGATCATCCGAAGGGTCAGACGGGCGCAATTGCTCTGCGGAGCAAACTGTTCAAGCGTGAGATCCTGACTTATAAGGAAGTGTTGCCGCGGGTACAGGCGCTTCTCGAATCCATTGGAGACAAGGCGAAAATTGCACCCATCTGCTATTACACGACGGAGAGTCCGGAGCCCTTCCTTATTTTGGAGGACATGCAACTGAGCGGATACGAAAACTTTGAGCGCGGGCGTCTACTCAACTTAGACTATGTGCTGCCCAGCGTGGAGAAACTGGCCAAGCTACATGCCTGCAGTGCTGTCATAGCCAAGCAGAATCCCGAAGTGCTGGAGTTCTTCAACGAGGCGCCCATCTCTCGCAATCCGGATCGTCGTGATTTTCTTAGTTTCTTTCCGGTAAACATACGCTGCGTGGCTGAAGAGATTGCCCACTGGAAGGGCTTTGAGGAGATCACTGAGAAGATGTTTAAGCTGGCCGAAAATGTGCTCCAGAGCGCCGTGCACATGTATGAGGAGCAGGAGAAGGGCTTTAAAGTTTTCAACATGGCCGACATTTGGATCAACAATCTAATGTTTCATATTAACAATGAAACCAAGGAACCCGATAATGTTGTTGCCGTAAGTTGTTATTTATATTGATGTATACCCTGTACACCTCTCAAATCGGTAAAGAAAATAGGGTATACTGCAGCTGTGCAAAAGTATGTAGCAGACATACGTGATATTATATGACTTAGCACCACAAAGCATAATATGGTTTTTCGATGCACGTATAGATACCTGTATCTGATTCAAACGCAAAACTATAATCGTTTTCAAAGGTGAACCCTCAACTTTTTGTACATTTTTATGAATTGAAAATATCAGACAGATCGATTTTATAAACAGGAGCTATTATTATTCATATTTGGCATCCGAAAAAAGTGAGTTTTTGAGGTATAAGTAATTATGCATATATGTTGTGAAGCGGAATGTAGTCGGAAATCCTCGAATAGACGCACTTATTTCTTATTATCAAGCATCTTATAATCTATTGAATCCTTTACAGCTTGATTTCCAATTGGCCTTTTTGGGCTCGCCAGCTGTTGATCTAAACTATTTTCTATTTGGCTCTCTCAATGAGAATGTACGTAAGGTGCACTTCAAGTTTATTATACATGAATATCAGCGCGTACTTAAAGAAACTCTAGATAAACTTAAATACCAGGGACACATTCCAACTCTCAAAGAGATTCACATTGAGCTAATGAAAAATAGCCTGATTGGTGAGTTCTAATAAAGTAACACATACCATGTACAGTATCTTATACTCTAATATACTCTAGGAGTCATTGCGGCCACTTGTCTAACGCCCCTGATATTCCGGGAAGATGCGGGCTTCGACAATCTTGAGGATCTGAACTCACGAACCGAGAATGGCGATCTTTTTCGACGCGAGAACGTTGAGAATCCCAAATATCGCGCATTTTTACAACGCACTGTCAAAGAGTTCGAGCTATCAGGTTTCTTGGATACGTAATTGTTCCTTATTTCTAGATAAGTTTGAGCAAGACGGGCTTCCAGTATAAAATACTATATTCAGAATAGTATTAAATATCGTAAGAGTCGTGCTTTCCGTACCCAAGAAATATACACGGCATAGCTTAAATTGACAACCTCTAATATGCATAAATTATAAGTATTATCAGAACGATAAAAACTTATTGAAATCATTCAAACATATCGAAAAAATGAAAATATCAAATATAAAATAAATCAAAAAAAAGTTTTAATTAAATTATGTTTGTATTTGCATTAAATTGGTACTGTTTTAATTATAAATAATACTAATGAAACCATATTGTTTATTAACATTATATCTATGTCATGTAAATGCAATAACTGTTCTATATAATTTTAAGGTAAAACATCCGATTTTACTCAAAGTAACCCAGTTCTTCAAATCTAGCCAACAAATACTTAACATCTTCGATGCAACGGGGCAAGTTATCGAATATCGGAAACAAACTCGTTCTGCGCGGGGACTAGGAGGTCCTAAAAAAATTTGAAGTCTCCAGCTCTTATATGTTCTGAGATCCTTGCGTTCATACATACGGACAGACGGACGGACGGACAGACAGACAGACGGACATGGCTAGATCGACTCGGCTATTGATGCTGATCAAGAATATAAATACTTTATGGAGTCGGAGATGCTTCCATAATACCCCTTTTACCCATTTTCATCAGTATATACACGACATAGATCAGATCAAGAGTTATCTGGCAAATATTGCTCATTTGGAAATCCACTAGCATAACATCTTCCACATCATGTTACGCAGATGAAAGTCGCAATGGCCAAGGACGTAATAGCCGTTGGGCTGGCGATTATTGCGGTACTCCTGCATTAGCGCTTTCAAGCTATCCACATAATCTTTTTTCATCTTCTTGAAATGAGGTACAGTATAATTTGCTTAGCTGTCTCGAGTACTTTGCACAGACATTAGAGGCATCTATCCTAAAAAGGCAGTTAACTTAATTTATTTTTTTTCTTAAAAGTGAATCGATTTCATAGTAACAACGACTTTTTTAAGTTGCACTGAATTCTAATTAACAGTACTAAGATTAATAAATTAATTTGATAGTTTTTATTAACTTTATATATTTAAATTACATTTAATTCAATTTCAATACAGTTTATTGTATACATAAGAAAAACAAATCAAAATTCAGCTCATCTGATCATAGATGGCGCAGTTAACTAACACGATATTCATAAAAATTGGCAAAAAATTACTGCTATAGGAGGCGCATAAGTGCAAAAGGCTCAAAATAAGCTCTAATTGCAGCGAAAGGAAAATTTCAGGCAGCTATCTTACCGGTGCAGCTAAGCAAATTATACTGTATATACCTTCTTAATTCTGGATTTTCCTCAAGTTATCCAATAAACGTACCCATGCCAGAGCTGAAAAAAAGGATCTTTCAAAACGCTAGGCATTTCAAACAATCCATGTTTGAATTCTTGCAAGGAATATAGTTTGTCAAGTTAATTAATTTAGTAGTATGATTATATATTTGATTATTATTTAATTATATGTTCGGCATACCTTATGCAGTATATGAAAGCTAGCCGCATGCCATTTAACCAGCTTAAGGAACGCTAAATTTAGTTCGTCCATGGCTGCGTCGCGTTTCCTTATAATCGTATACCCTTGCATCACCAGATCTTCAAATATCATTACCTTTCACGGATTCAAGGTGCAATAAATGCAGAGCACTCATAGCCTGGTATTATCGCCCACCTCTCGGAGAATCTCCTCAAACTTGGGCACCTTCGTGTACATGCCGATCTCGGTACGAAAAATATTCGAGGTTTCGAGCATTTCTTTCTTGTGACCCTAACGATCGGGCATAGTCTTGATGATCAGCAACTTGGAGAGCTTGCCCTCCTGTGTGTTGAACGAGGCATTCGCACGAAACATGGCGTTTGCGTAGTGATCAGACTTGTCACTGCCCGGCGTTATGCGGAAATCCAGGACACTTAGTTCTGATGCCTTTTCATGTTTGAGGAGCACTTCCTCAAGGAACTGCGAATTTAGTCACTCGGGTGCCACCAATTCGTCAGCACTGAAGCTACGTTATTTTCAGTTATCATATCGTTTGTAATTTCTATTGGTAATATTAAGGCTATCGACACAATCTGTTGACTATACCGGCAATCCAACAGAACACATGCTACGAAAAGTTCTCCCTACATATCTCAACTACTTAAGTAAAATTTAGCATGAAAGCTTTCTCGTGATTTGGCAATAAAAATGTTTGGACTTGATTACCGTTGTTATGTATTTATACGTTATACACTTCAAATTTTTTTTTTTTAATAAATAAATATAATAAAACAAGAAAAAATGGAATATATTTTATGTTAAAAGCATCTAATCAAAGCCTTCAGAGACACTGAGATTATTCTCTCTCTCTCTCGCTTCTTATTTCCCTTATTTCCATCTATTTTATTCTACCTCTCTCTATTTTCTCTCCCACATCAATATATATGGATTCTACAAATAACGCAATAGGCCACTTAAATTGCTTTGTTAAAGTTCGACAACCTTGCAGAATAGGCAAATAGGGCCTTCATTGGATAATTGTAATTAAGCAGATTTATTTTTGCTTTAATTTTGTATATGTTCCGGTTTCATACAATTTTATTTATTCCTTATACTTGCTCTAAACATAATATATGTTTTAATAGATATTGCAATCATGGCTGCAAGTGCGGACACAATTGTTGGTTGTTCGTTTCAGGGATTGAATTCGAAAACCTGGTCTTACATTTTTATAAGCCCAGGTTTTGCTCATCTCATTGCCTAAGTAATGAATATATGTTAAAGAGTTTGTCCTAACTAAGGCGGCGTTTTAGAAAATTCGACCTCCAAACTAATATACGCAACAACGTAGCCAACAACAGGCGACAGGTTGTCGGTTCAAATTCAGCATCAATCAAAGCAATAATAATAAATTTAAAAATACATTAAATTCAAAAATATAACTTTTGTTATGTTGTCTTATGGTATGTCCTTTTTCGCAGGCGGCAAGCAGTGGGCGGAGTAGCGTGGTGGGCTAAGCGTCGTCACACTGATGGTCGCGGTTTAAATACCTCAATAAATTTTATTTGTATAATGTAATCTTACACATGATTATGACTTTGCCAAAAACTACAGTATTTTCAAATGCCAAAAACAAATGTTTTAAAGCAACACATATTTTTTTAATAAATATTTTGGCTGAGGTAAAATTTATCATACACAAATTAAACAGCCTTTGCAAAGTATCCCTCTTCCTCGAATCTGGACAACAGATTCTTTTGTTTTCCGCACATCTTCGTTTTGGAATATGTCAGCAGGGTCAAAGGCATACAAACTAAGGGCACACATCATTGGCAAAAATGTAGTTAGCAAGTAAATATCTAAGAAATGTCCAACATGAATATAACCTATAGTACTTATATAGCAAAAAGTGACTTTCAAGTCCTTACTTACCACAGCACTTATTCTGGGACATTTGTTGCCAAAACGCTACAGAGTTCGGCAACTCGCCTTTAAAGCCATTATTCTGCAATGTTGTGAGGAACTCGGAAAAGTATTAGTTAATGAGATGCTTGTAGTTATTGCGACGATCTTCTATTCCCATCAGCATATAGACAGCATAGATCAGATCAATGGTTATCGGGCAAATGTTGCTTATTTGAAAATCTATTAACATGACATCTTCCAAACTTCCATTTTTCTTGTGCTTCAACATCGTCTTTTTCAGATGAAAGTCGCCATGGCAGAGGACGTAATATCCATTGGGTTGGCGATTATTGCGATACTCCTGCATTACAGCTCCCAAACGATCCACATAATCATTTTCCATCTTTTTGAAATGAGGTATATGCTTTCTAAATTCTGGAATTTCTTGCAGCAAATCGAGGAACTATCGCATGCCAGTGGTACAAAGGTCTTGCCTCATATTTGGTATCTCAAACAGACCGTATTTAAATTCTTGCAGGTAATCGGGTTGCTAATGTACAGGAATAGTATAATAAAACATTTTCTTACTACTTAATCGTATATAAGACTTACCTCGTGCAGCTTATGAACACTGACTGCATGCCATTTGGCAAGCTTAAGATATGCGAGCTTCAGCTCCTCAATTGTTGCGTCGCGTTTCCTTATAATCGTATACCCTTGCAGCACCAGATCTTCAAATATCATTACCTTTCGCGGATTCAAGGTGCAATAAATGCAGGGCACACATAGCCTGGTATTATCGCCCACCTCTCGGAGAATCTCCTCAAACTTGGGCAACACCTTCGTGTACATGCCGATCTCGGTACGAAAAACATTCGAGGTTTCGAGCATTTCTTTCTTGTGACCCTCAGCGACTTGGAGAGCTTGCTCTTGTGTGTGGTGTACAAGACATATGCACGAAAGATGATGCTCGCGTAGTGATCTCCCAGTTTGCGAAGCACTTCCTCAAGGAACTGCGCATTTAGCCACTCGGGTGCTACCAATTCATCATCATTGAAGCTATCAACATTTTTATTCGCGTCCATGTTGTTTGTAATATTTTTCACACTTTGTTATTCGTATCCGTTCTATTCGAACTATCGTATAACAATAATGGAACTGAATGCCGTTTACTCAACATTTTAAGGGATTTTTTGTTTAAAAGCTGACGAAAGCTTTCGCAAAGCTTCGACAAGCGCGTTTGTTAATTTTATGTAAAATTCATTGTTTTATGAAATAAGAGGAATTTAAAGCTCTAAAGCTCTAAAGATAACGCCGTTATTTAAACAACAGGTAAAAGTTTCTATACTTATAACAATTAGAAGCTCACGTAATATATAAATAGTTCTGGCAGATGTAATTATAATACATTATATGTATTTATTCGATATTAAATTATACCCTTGATATCTATAGCTCTGCCTTAAATACCCAAAAGTTGGATTGAACGGCTTCCATTCCACTTAAGAGCTGTGTATTTGTCGAAGAACTTATTCAATAACTTTTCAAAAAGATCTTTGAAAATTAGTTTGAATCTAATCGCATGGTGAACAAAAAATGTACACATTTTCGCTTATATAATAATATATATATAATTATTATATAATAAGTTTGCCAATCTACCGAAACTTAAAAGTTCCCTCCAAAAAAACATTAAGCCGCATTTTCCACCAAGGAATCTTGGATACTACAATGAATTTTAATTAGGATTCTTGGAAATTTGAACCTGAAACCTCATCCAGCAAATCTTTGACCCTCAGTCCGCTAAGAAGAGATATATTTTCCAAAAAATGTGAATCACTTTTCTATTGAATTTGAAGAAATATATTTTTAAGTTTGAGGCCGAACGGTAAACATAAAAGTAGCACACATCCATTTTCTCGCAATTTGATCGTGTACTTAACGTGCAACCCCATCAGCTTCCTAGATCTTAGAGTTTGAGCTGTGCTCAAATCAGCCAAATCAGACCGACTCAGTCAGTTATTATATATTTTAACTAAGTATAATTAATTAAGATTATTTTTAATTTTTACTTAAGAATACTTCTTTCCAAACAAACTTCATGAAAGGTCTAAAATGGTAATGACAAAATTAGCTGTTTATAAAGGCATGCTTGGCCCGACGGAAAAATTAATTACCCATCGTATCGGTGATGATATTAGAAATTTTTGTATTTTTTTTAGACTTTTAGCTTTTAATTTTTGCAATATAATGAATTAAATTCTTTGGCTGACGCTCGTCTTATCGACCACTAATAAAATAAAAATAATAAAATATACAGTAAAGTGCAAAATACTTGAGTTAGAAAACAGAGCTGCATGGCTAGATACCCCGTAAGGGTACAACAGCAACTGTACCATCATAATATTATTAAGGCTTTCCAATCTAGAATCAACATTAGATAACAGCTGATGGCTCTCGCTCTCTATCTCCCTCTCGACTTCAATCGCTCTTGAATAATTAGCTTCTACTAGAATATGATGTATTCCACAGATGATAACAATTGCCACTACACTTAAGTTCAAAAGCTTCCTAGCACATGATAAACATTTATAATCATACTGTTAAGTATTTTATATTTTTTTCACGCTTCAATAAAAGTCTGGTAGTATACAAATTAAAATTATAATAGGTAGACGGACCCAACTGAAATTCGATAAGCAATTAAACCCTATCGTAGCCATCTGCTCCAGATAATACCGCACTTTCCAAAAATTACAAAACCGAAAGAAACGATTTTGTGAAACTTTAAAGCTCTAGGTATGTTTGTTAAGATCTTGGACTAGGGTGTCGCTTAGTTGAGCTAATTTAATTCATCATTCTCTGTTAGTTATGACAGCAATAATAATTACAAATGCAACCATATCTACTCATATGTTTACCCACTGAATGTAAATAATAATTACACGCCGCATATTGCCAATTAAATACCCTTGTTGACATATGACTAAAGTATTAAATAAAAAACCTTACCGAACGATTGCTCCTGCAAAAATTATATGAAACAGTGGCCCAATTAGACGGTTTCACAATATCTTCAGAAACTAGTGAGTTAATATTTGCTTAGATATCTTTGCAAGATATATTTGTCAGAAAATTATCCAAGCAAGAATTTATTTTTGACCTATAGGGCTACTTGATAAAATGATGACTGATAGGGTCTTGATATATAAAAAAGATGCTCATACAAGAGTTTAATTTCCGACTGATCGTACATATAGCACCCGATCCGGTCGATTTCGACCCCTATTGCATGAAACAAAAAGACGGACCTCTGAAAAATATCATGTCGATAGCTTTAAAAGTGAAAGACTTTCTCGCAAGGAAACAGATAGATGAACAGAAAGGCATGGCTTTATTAACTCGACTGTTCATTCTAATCATTATATGCGTCACAAATTTCGTGACAAAATTATATTACCCTCTACTAGGGTATAAATACTAAAGTTTAAGCTCCCACCAGCGGCGATTATTTTGCGAGTCATTTTGTTATGTAACCCATTTAATTAGAAAGCTCTGAAAGCTTTTAAATCAACTTGAATAAATTCGGAATTTCAGTAGATTCGCGCTTAGTTAGTTCCTAAAATACCTGACAATAACATCCAGAATGCCTCCAAACAACGACAGCTACAACCCGGATGAGCTCGATGCGCCACAATGGCTAAACACAAAGTTCATCAGAGAAGTCTTGGTTCAGCATCTCAAGGCACCAGAGCTCAAAGTAATTGATCTTAAGTTCTCCCCAGCCAGCTCCAAGGGGGATCATTATGCGAGCCTTATGTTCCGAGCTTACGTTGAGTATGAAACGCAAAAGGGGCACTCGACGATATCGCTCGTCATCAAAACAATGCCCGAGCAGGATGGTCACAAGAAAGAGCTACTGGGTGAATCACACATCTTTGAGACGGAGATTGCCATGTACACCAAGGTGTTGCCCAAGTTCGAGAACGTATTGCGCGAGGTGGGCGATATGACTAGATTATGTGCCACCTGCATCTACCATAGCGTGAAGCCGCGTCAGGTGATGGTCTTCGAGGATCTGTCAACCCAGGGCTACGCAGTCATTCGACGATCTGCTAACATAGAAGAGCTACGAGCTGCCCTGGAAAATCTGGCCAAATGGCACGCAGTTAGCCACAAGTTGCTCAAGGAGCAGCCCGAACTATTTGATCAGCTACAATATGATATAACCACACTGCCAAAATTTTTGGAGCAGGACTTTTTGACCAAATCCATGGACAACTTTATAGATATGCTCGGAAATGTGGAGAGTCTAAAATCCTACCGCAAGTACTTTGAGCCGATGCAAAATAAGTTAATTCAGGGCTGGGTGGATGTGATACGTGAATATCGAGAGAGCCGTCAAGAAAATGGGTACTACGTGCTCTGTCATGGGGACTTTCATCTACGTAATATGATGTTCAAAGGAACCGAGTGTATGCTGTTGGATTTCCAGATGTCTTATGTGGGATCTATGGCCAATGATATTATATATGCCATCTACATGTTGTTCGACGGCAAGTTACGTGAAGAAAAATCAAATGAACTTATTTATAACTACTTCCAAACCTTCGTGAATACATTAAAGAAGATTGGCTACCTTGGCAAGGTGCCCAGTTTGGTTGAGTTTCGGCGTCAAATGTTTGAAAAAAGATATAATGGTAAGTTCAAGTAAAAGAAATGTGATTTATGTAATATTAAGATGTATCTATACCTCAGATTTTCTGCTGCTTACCTCTTTTCAACCTATAATAATTTATATGCGCAAGGGCGCCGATGCTGGAGATATAATGGAGGATGATGAACTGCGTTCTAAACTGTATTATCAGAAGGAATACATAAAGGAACTGGAAGATCTATTGCCTCGAATGCTTCATCTGGGCTATTTTGAGCCACTTTACTCGTGTAGGGTAAATAGTGTCTAAGCATATATTTTGAATAATTATATGGCAAATTATATAATAATGTTGTATCGAGAATTCCCCTTGTTGATATTGTCTTCGACAATGCATACTTATGAGCATCAGCCCTCTCTACGCGTGGAGCATCATAATAAGTATATACATTTCTTTACTCGTTAAGTTTGCCTTTAATTTACTTGTAATTAGAGATTTCAATTCAAGGCAATTTATTGATAGACAGTAAATCTTTGGCTAATCGCGCATTTTCAGAAATTATCTATACAATTTTGAAGTTAGCTTTCTCTAATTACACATTTTAATCTTTTCAATTTCAACTCACGGCATTCTCTTTGCAGTTTATGACATTAACAAAAAATAGTTCTTTTTATGAATGAAAACTTCATTCTTCTTACAACTACGCATAGCTAGAAACATACACATATGTATGTATTTACCAGCAAATAACAACAAGAGGGCTATAGTCGAAAGGGATTAATTACGCAACTCCACCGGCAATTGTGAAAAATTAGCGCAATGTGGTTGTATTTTTGTTTTTTTGCTTACCATTTTATCGGCTTTTAACTCATTGTGATAATTTAAGACTTTTGAAGGTGGATTAAAATTTTTCAAACGCGGCAAATAGGTGGCAAATTTAGAAGCAAAATAGTTGGACCGCGTAAGGGTGGGAAATACCAGCTATGTATTACTTCATATATGTATATTTACTACAAATTTGCTGTAAACAGCACTTGTAGAGAGATATGTGAGATATGCTAAAATTAATCGAGTTGCGCATCGAAAAATCTCGATCTATGCTTGTTAAAGGAGGAACTAAGATCTTTATCTAAAGTATCGACCAGAATACAAAACTAAAATCAAATCCGTGGTTTACATTGCAAACCTTTTAAAATGAGATTGTTTCAATTTTGGGTTAAACGTGGAGAGGTGCGCAAAAAAGTTTTCATTGCATACCTTTGAAGAAGGTATAGGTTTTTTTTCCAAGCTACCTTCCAAAATACCAAAATACACAAACATCCAGAATGTCGCCCAAAAAGGACAGTTACAACTAGGATGAGCTCGATGCGCCACAATGGCTAAACACACAGCTCATCAGAGAAGTCTTGGATCAGCATCTCAAGGCACCAAAGCTCAAAGTAATTGATCTTAAGTTCTCCCCAGCCAGCTCCAAGGGGGATCATTATGCGAGCCTTATGTTCCGAGCTTACGTTGAGTATAAACGCAAAAGGGGCACTCGACGATATCGCTCGCCATCAAAACAATGCCCGAGCAGGATGGTCACAAGAAAGAGCTACTGGGTGAATCACACATCTTTGAGACGGAGATTGCCATGTACACCAAGGTGTTGCCCAAGTTCGAGAACGTATTGCGCGAGGTGGGCGATGTGACTAGATTATGTGCCACCTGCATCTACCACTATTACGTTCTCTGTCATGGAGACTTTCATCTGCGCAATATGATGTTCAAGGGACTCGACTGTATACTTTTGGATTTTCAGTTGTCCTACGTGGGATCTATGGCTAATGATATTATTTTTGGAATTTACTTGTTGTTTGGTGCGGAGATAGGTAGAGAGAAATCGAATGATTATTTACAAATACTTCCAAACCTTCATGAATATGTTAAAGAAGATTGACTTCCAAGGCAAGGTGCTCAGTTTGGTTGAGTTTCGTTTATAATAATATAAGTTTATAAAAATATACATTTATATTAAAGCAAGTTTTAATGTAATTTATCCCATTTCCTAGACTTTCTGCTTTATCGCATTGAACGCATATTTACCTTTGATAAAGCATTTGCGCAAGGGAGCTGATGAATTAGTAAAAAATGAGCAAATGCTTAGTCAATTGTATTATCAAAAGGAATACCTAGACGATCTAGAAGATCTACTGCCTCGAATGCTGCATCTCGGCTACTTTGACACTCTATAAATGTATATGGATATGTTTTTAATTTAAATGAAAGTAATCTGTTTTTAATTAACTTATAATTACATATTTCTACTGATACCAGACTATTGGGAACTGATTGTTCTTTATATCTCCACAGGTTTCTCTTATCTTTTACAAATTGATAATTATTGAATTTGCTATTTATATAACCGGTTTTATGACTGTTTATAAGCAATAAAAGTACGTGTCACCGTGACAAATCAAAAAAACGTTAAGCAAATTATTTCAGTCGGGACTAGATTTAATAATTGCATATACAACTATAACAAATACTATGCTGATAAAAAAGTTAACTTACCTGTAAGGTACTTAATACGGGCTAAATACAAGATAATTGCGTTTTTCATTCCGTTTTTAGGCAAACGGTTCCAATCTCAACTAGACAGATAGCAATTCTCAGATGAAAATAAATCTGATTTATCTCTAAAACATTGTCCATTAATAGAAATTAAAATTGAGGTTCTTAACACGACGCAACAATATATAAAAGCTCTCTCAGTTTTAAAAGTAGTCTGCTCTCTTTTATTTATTATCATTAGCTTTCAGAACATTTTTTTTTTTCACAGCAGTCTATGGTTGCTCTTTTTATGAAACTTTACAGTAAAACTGATCAGCAGATCCAAATGCGTTGGTATTTTGAAAGAGGCCTGCGATAGCGGATTGCATATAGTTTCAACTGAAAAGGTTTATCAGTTTTGAAGGAAAATACATTGATATTAAGTTACGCATTTAAATTTTCTATTGAATGCCCTGAACAACTGGAAAATTATTGTGTTAGACGGTTTAAGCATTTGTTTGTATTATGTATATTATGTTATCAAATCAATCAAAATAGCCCAATTTTTCGAATTTGGCTAACAAAAACCTAACATCTTCGACATATTCATCCAAGAAGTACAACTTTTTTCGAAGTTCATTCTTTTGTATCACGTCAGGTATATCAAAGGCATTGGACCTAACACCATGTATCAGCGGAAGAAATGTTGACAAAAGAAATAGGTCTGTAAATACACACATTTTACATATATTAATGTTTAAGATGCATTTTTAAGCTAAATTCAAACTTACCAAAGAATTTATGACTTGACATTTGCTTCTGAAATTCTACAAAGCTCGGTAATTCGCCTTTGAAGCCAGTTTTCTTTAATGTATCAACAAAAGTGGAGAAATAAAAGTTAACTAGCTCTTCGCAGTTGTGCTGACGATCCTCGGCAGCCATCAGCATATAAATAGAATATATAACATCGATGGTAATCGAGCAGATATTGCATATTTGATAATCAAGTAGCATGCAATCCTCAAAACTGTTATCTTCATTGTTGTACTTGAACATCATGTTACGCAGATGAAAGTCTCCATGGGATAAGACATAGTATCCATTGGGCTGACGATTTTCACGATACTCTTCCATTACATCAGTGAAGCGTTTCATATAAGTATGCTCTATGCTCTCAAAGTATGGCTTGTACTTGGTAAACTCTGGGTTTTTATCAAGAAATTCCAGAAAATTACCAAAGCCCGTCGTCAGGAAGGGATCACTCATAAAGTTCGGCATAGAGCACAGGCCATGTTTGAATTCTTCCAGAAAATCTGGTGTCTAAGATAAAAGAGATGTTAACTAGTTTGTTCTCAATTTTTAAGCGTTAGGTATTACCTCATGTAGAACCTGAAAGCTAACTGCGTGCAATTTGGCTAGCTTCGTTAATGCTCCCTTCAGTTCCTCAACAGTAGCATTCCTATCCCTGACAACAGTATACCCTTGAGGCACCAGATCCTCAAATACCATGATTTGTCGTGGCTTAAGGCTGTGATAGAGACAAGGTGCACATAGCCTGGTCTCATCACCAGACTCTTTAAGAATCTCCTCGAATCTGGGCAGCACTTTGGTGTACATGCCAATCTCGGTCTCGAATAAATAGGAATCACTCAGCATTTCCTTCTTGTGCCCATCTTCCTCTGGCATTGTCTTTACGATTAGCGACTTGAAGAACTTGCCCTTTTTTGTGGTATACGAAACATTACCACGAAACATGACGCTTGCGTAGTGATCGCCTTTGCCACTCGCTGGCGACATCTTTACATTCACAACCTCGAGTTCTGGTGCCTTTTCATGTTTGCGAAGCACTTCCTCAAAGAACTGCGCGTTTAGCCACTCGGGTGCCACCAATTCATCGGCATTGAAGCTATCATTTGATGTCGCTGCCATATTTGTTTGCTCAATAACTATATATTTAATAAGTATTTGAAGTGAACTCGTCAACGAAACTATTAATAATGAGCTTCTCGCTAGCGCACATGTCTTTTTAAGCGTTTTTGTCGAAAGCTTTCGATAACCTATCAACAGAACGAAATTCTTTTCTCTCAGTTAGCCTGTTGTGAAATACACCATTTGTATGGTTTAAATGCAGTAAAAATGGGTTCATATGCTGAGAGTAAACAGTTAACGCGTTAAAAAAACAAAAATTTCAATATTTCATGAATATAAGTGCAATTTTGTCCATGATGGTCCGGGTCGAATAATTCGATAACAAATACTAATAAGCATAAATATAATAATAACTAGCGGGTATAACCCGGCCTTGCCCGTGGCACGTATGTTATAAAATCAAAAAAGCTTTGAAAATGATTTTAAAACTGATCTGACGGGAATCAAACAACTTTTATGCAAATCGGAAAACTCTTAAAATTCACCAAAAAAATCTTAAAAATGCATTTTCACCGAAGGAGTTTAGATTTTGCGAGAAATGTGAAACACGTCTCTAATGATTTTGTTATAGATCTTTGGAAATAAATTTGAACACAAAACGTCACCCACCAAATCTTTGACCTCTATTTGCACCAAGGAGGGATGGATTTTTCAAAAAGTGTGAAACACCCCTCAAATGAATTTGAATATAGATCTTTGAAAATTAGTTTGGGGCCGATCGGATGGTAAACAAAAAACTTTCATACAACCGTTTTCCGCCAATTTACCACTGTTACGGGTGGAATTTTCCAAATCGTCGAAATATGTATTCATTAAGTTGTTATTGAGAGCTTTGAAAATAAGTTTGAAGCAAATCGGACACAACTTAAAGCTTCGCACAAAAAATCTTTAAATCGCATTCCCCACGAAGAAGTTTGAATTCTGCGAAAAGTGTGAAACACGTCTCAAATGATTTTTCTAATAGATCTCTGCAAATGAATTTGAGTGCGAAAAGTCACCCACAAAATCTTTGACCTCCATTTCCACCAAGGAGGAATGGATTTTTCAAAAAGTGTGAAACACCCCATAAATGAATTTGAACAAAGATCTTTGAAAATAAGTTTGAGGCCGATCGGATGGTAAACAAAAAAGTTACATACAAACATTTTTCGCGATTTTTCCACACTTGCGGGTGGAATTTCCCGAAACCACGTCTTAACGTGCACCTACATCACATAAGGTAGCTACAGTGAAAATTTCAGCTTCCTAGCTCTTACGGTTTGGGCTGTGCGTTGATCACCAATCAGTCAGTCAGTCAGTCAGTCAGTCAGTCAGTCAGTCAGTCAGTCAGTCAGTCAGTCAGTCAGTCAGGACAAACAGTTTTATATATAGAGATAATAAATATAATACAAAAAAATAGTAGTACACATTATATTGTAATATTCTCAAAGGCAAATTACATTAAACTTGCAAGCAAAAATTAATAAAAAAATTAGAGGTCGGTCGTCAAAGGCACCCTTCCAAATGCATTTATCTGTTAGTATACTGTGAACAGAATATTAGCTAATTGGCTCCAACCAACTGCAAGGTACTACCTCCTTTTATTGATTAGATAAGATACATAGACTTCAAGTACCTGACCTAGAGGAAGTTAATAAAGTTTGTCGAAATTCTAAGCAATAATGATGCGAAACAAATTTTTATTGCACATTTATAGCAGATCCAATTCTATTCAAATAACCTTGCTGCTCAAAACTTTTTAAAAGCTTTCGAACTTCTTCCACATAGCCCTCGATACGATAAAAGCTCTGTCTTCAGTCGTCTTTATAACGCATTTCCACCATATCCTCGGACTTTTGCTTTCCTCTTTTAACACAATACATCAACGGCAAAAATGTGGTCAGCAGAAACATTTTATAATGGGAAAATGGAATTTTTGAAAACTGTATAAATATAAATATATATAATCTTAACTTACCGAAGTATCTTTGCCGAAACAGCTGCCGGTGAAACTCGGCCAAATTAGACAATTCGCCCACATATTTTATTTTCTTTAAGAAAATTGGAAAAATAAAACTCAATTAACTCATTGCAATGATATTGGCGTTGATCGGGCGATAGCATTTGATAGATTGAGTAAATTATATCGTTTGGCATGGGACCCACATTACTCATCTGGAAATCCAGCAGCATGCAGTGCTCTAGGATCCCACTATCTTTATTATGATTGAACATCATATTCCTAATGTGAAGATCGCCGTTGCATAGCACATAGTATCCATTTTCCTGGCGATTCTCGCGATGCTCCACAAGAGGAGCTCTGAACGTTTCCTGGTAATTACTGCGTATCTATTCAAAGTGTGGCTTATAGACACTCAAGTCAGGCACTTCATCCAGCATTCTTATAAAGTAATCTATGCCGTTCATAAAGGGATCCTCCATTATTTTGAGTAGCTCCATTAAACTGCATTTGAATTTTTCAAATATGGCTGGCTCCTCCTTTTGTAACTTGTAGCTGACGGCATGCCACTTGGCCAGCTTGGAATAGGGGCACTTTACCTTCTCCAGCGTTGGCTCCCGATCGCGCACTACAGTGTAGCCCAAGGGCACCAGATGCTAAAAAATCATTACCTGACGCGGCTCCAAGCTGCAGTATAGGCAAGGCGCATAAATCGATATATCATCGGATGCCTCTCGCAGTATGGCCTCAAACTTCGGCCGTATTTCGGTATACATGCCAATCTCTGTTTGGAAGATATGTGATTCGCCCAGTTGTTCCTTCTTAAAGCCCTCCAATTCGGGCATTGTCTTAATTATTAATGATTTGGCGGCCTTCTTGCCCGCTTGGATTATATATTCCACAGAGACTCTAAACATAACACTGGCATAATGATCACCCTTGACAGTGGCCGGAGACATTTTATAGTACAACACTTCCAGCTGATCATCTTTTAAGTTATTTGTCAATACTTTTTTTAAAAATTGTGAAACCAGCCACACGGGTGCCTCCAATTCATCCGCATTAAATTCATTGTTTTCGTTAGACATTCTTTAATGCTAACAACAATTTTTGTCCACTGCCCAAACTACTATAAGCTCGACAAACAAATAAACCAAGTAAGTACTTGCTTTGAAGCGTTTAATTATATAGTGCAAAAGCTCTACTCAGCTATTTCACAAAATCAAGCTCGCAAGCTTTTTTTTTTGAAATAAAAAGTTTATTGTGAAAACTTACTAAGAAATTAAATTTCATGAAATCGGTTGATTTAAACAATCATGGACAATAGTTTGTAAGAAAAAGCAACTTTATTTACATACATACACAAAAAACTATTATTAATATTTTGTTAATTACAAATTTAAAGAAATATAAAATTTATTAGGGAAATTGTTTAGTTTCCTGTCTAAAAGGCCAAAATGATATGAGTTTTTGTCAAAATCTATGTCTCTTGCATGAGAAATCGATTTTAAAATTGGTTATATTGACTAAAATCTTAAATAATAAAACATTAAAAATGTTTCAACAGTGTTATATGAGTAAATTCTTCTACACAAGCGTTTACTAGTTATGAACTATCAGTAACTTCGAGATATGCAGATGTTCGTTTTTACACTATCGATTAAATAAATAAATAAAAAGTCTGTAAAATACAATGCATTGTATGGTTAGTGGTAAAATGCACCTCATAGATTAAGATCGGCTTAAAATTTATATATATGTTTATTCATTTTTATTATGTTTTTAACTGCATGTTATTGTATTTAATTTACATTGGTAGATGGCTCGTCAAGCGATAAATGTATCTAAGTCGGCCAGATAGTTTACTCAACTTGGCACTGTAAGCACGGTTGGTCTTATTTGTTAAATAAAGCCTTTCTCTACTGGGCTTTAAAATGTCACACTTTCAAGTTTCACATATTGGTGTTCTACTGGTTTTCGGTAAAATGTGAGTGGCAAAAGTACCACTTATTTAAATAAACAGCTGATCGAGTTGCTTTAATTTACATAAGCGCTGCACAGGTTTCCTTCCAAAATTTCCTTCAAATAATACGGCCCCGAAGTAGAGGTTCCGTTTAATTGACTCTTTGCGGGATTTGGCCAAATTTAAAAGTTAAAAACTGTGGGATTATTAAAATTTAAAATTATAATTTAAAGTTACCGCTTTCCTTCGTTGCAATTTCAGCTGGTTTATGTTAAAATTGTTCACAACATCGATAGAAAACTCGATAAATCATCGCAAAAAACACGAACTGTTCGGGGCGAATTTACACATTTTTCAAAAATGTGACATTTTTGAAAAATGTGTGAAATGTGTTTTCTAATGGGAAAGCGTACCCATGATCAGCCCATTCACACACATTTGTGTCTGTGTGTGTGTGTAGAGCTCGAAATTCAGAAGTCCAAAAATATTTCCAAATTTGCATCGGACAGGCAGGCAGGGACCAACAGGCACACATGCGCATAAATGCTTCTATTCATATACAAAATACGCAAGTATGCGTAAATAGCAAGTCCAAAAACTTTTAAATGCACACATGCCAACGCTTAGGTACCCTTTCCAACAATAACGAGCTAAAATTAAAGAATTTCGCATCGACTTGGCAAACCCTTTCATTATTTCATATTACTCGTCCCCTCAAAAGGGAAGAAATGCCACCGACTTTTGACAAAAATTTAATTTGTGGGCATTTTTGCTTGTGCGGACACATGCACACACAAACATTTAAACGGTACCTAGGCATAAAGAGAGCATTGAGAGTAAGTGCGAGCGAGATAAAAATAAACAGCGATGCCGTTCTATCGCACAAATCATATGGAAGAGAGTAAGCCAAAGGAGTTTCCTGTAGTGTGAGCGATCAAAAGATGTCATATGTATATCTTACTCGCTCGTTGGACCAGATGCATATTTTTTTTGGTGACCAAAACTTTCCTACGGCATGTCCCATCTATATGTTTTTTGGTTAGTGCTATTACTTAGTTATTGATACTTTCCGCCTCCGGAAACATATTCTCAAGATTTAGCGAACACTGGTCACACTTGGACCTTTTTTTTAAGCGGGAACAATACTAAAATTTATGGTATCTTTTTTTTCATTTTCCGTCAGAAATGTGGTATTAATGCTTTTTCACAAACTGGTCACACCGTTAAGAACACAAGAGCTAACAAGTTGGCTGGCAAACTAACGTGGAGCATTTAACAAAAACCAATTTATTAAATCAAAGAATTCAAAAGTGGTGCAAAATGAACACGTCACATATAGTACTCATGATCTGTTTCATAGTTGGCGTCGCTCAGACGGCGCTGGCGCTCAAAGAAGATGACTGCGAAGGTGCGTACATAGGTGTAAATGTGCCGTTGATGGCCACGTATGTATAAACTGTTCTAGAACAGATTTTCACTGACACTTAATTACAGTTTGCGTGAAGACTGTCAAACGTTTTGCCGACACACTGGACGACGCGACAAAGAAGGATTACAAATTGATTGAAACAGAATTCAAGAAGTACTGCAAGACACAGAAAAACAAGGAGCACAGATTTGTGAGTAGCTCAAGGCCAATATGCCGGTAAACAGGTTGTCTAACCAATCTATCAATAAAACACGTATATATTTTTTGAACCACGTAGTGCTACTACCTGGGCGGTCTTGAGGAGTCTGCCACAGGAATATTAAATGAACTGAGCAAGCCACTGAGCTGGTCAATGCCAGCGGAGAAAGTCTGTGAGAAACTGAAAAAGAAGGATGCACAAATTTGCGATTTGCGATACGGTATGTAATTTTCCCGTAGTTGATGGCGTCGTTGATATATTTCTATATCTACATTTAATTGTACAGAGAAACAAATTGATTTGAATAGTGTGGATCTCAAGAAACTGAAAGTTCGCGATCTGAAGAAGATCCTCAATGACTGGGATGAGAGCTGTGACGGTTGTCTTGAGAAATCAGATTTTATTAAGCGTATCGAGGAGCTCAAGCCTAAGTATTCGCGAAATGAACTGTAAACACATTTAATTAGCTATTTACAAGACACACACGCCCACTCAATACTTTACTACACCCACATACATATATTTTAGTTAATTTACAATTTTGATAGACTTTGAGAGAAAAATATCTATTTTGAAATAAAAAAAGCAGAAAATGTGGGAGAAGACATAATAAACCCACAATGACCTCATACACTCTCGCATTTTATATTGTTTTATTTACTTGTTAACAAAATTACTTTCTCAATACAAAAATTATGTTAAAATTACAACAAAAATTAGTGGACAGTGATGCTAAATAATTGTAAATGTTAAGTAATTCGATTGCACTTACTACGGGCCCCATAAATTTTATTTACTTAAACTATATGTATTCGTATATGCCAAATTGGGCACGCATTTTTAAATAATTAAATTAAAATTATTAGTTAAACATATGAGCTAATTACGAACATAAGCAGTTTTAGTATTATCAACTAACAGATAAGATGTATGTGGTGTATCAGCCGTGTCTGGATAGTGCGAGAGGGGAATCAACGACGATAGGGCTGCTTGTTGTAACGTCCACGTTCGCTTTCCTCGGCTAGATTGGCGTACTCGCTATAGACGACGCACCAACAATATGTGAGCACAGCTGAAAAATATGAACATATTTAGTTACATGTGTCTGTTTCAGAATTCTACAAATAGATGGGTTTGCGCTATACTGAGTAATGCAATATAAGTTTAACTAAAAGCATACCTTCAGGCGCGCACAATGTTACAATATAACAAATGCTAACATTAAAAATTTAATTTAATGAGGCTGAATGCGTATGCTGGTCGATTTTCACTAGGACATTATTTAGTGGTAATCTCAAAATATGAAATATTGAGTTTCTTTAATTTGGCAGATGTAAATTAGTAAATTATAATTGAACTGAACCATAGCTATTAGGAAGCCAGCGTTCGTCTGATACGGCATTTACATGACATGCAAAATAAATTGGGTCAATTCATATTTGTATTCAGTGATGAGGATAATCGATTAAAGTGCAAAATTCAAGTAACACTCTTTCGTTCCCCGAAATAGAATTTATCGAAAATTTGTAAAAATTAGTGCATAGAAAGCATGCAAGAATAAGAAGGGGGATAATAAGATGTGTCCATAACTCGGGGAATAATACAAATTAAAATAACTGGACTGCAATGTGTTGTTTAATTGCAAATATTGAAAATAATTCAATTGTAGTTTTTATTTTATTTAAATTACTGGAAAAGTTTTGCCCTTACTCGAAGGATGAAAGTCAGACAATTAATACAACCTAACAGCTTTGTGTCTTTTATTTGCGAATGTCTACTGTTCTGCCACACATGCCGTTTATGTTTGCCATTTGGCAGCCAAACTTATTGCGTGGCAAGCACTTCGCGCCTCATTTCTCAGCAGACTGAACTCCTCCGTCCCTGCCGTCACTAGCTTTCAACATGCAGGTAATCGGCGCATGATAAATGCGTCAATAAATTAAAAACGGCTGGCATTAAACGCCATCCGGTGCTAAAAACCGCACAAGTAGAAGCCACTATAGGCTTGTGTGGATATGCACTTACCACAACAAATCAGGCCGAAGATCAGCCACAGAACGCCAGTGAGTACAAAACCATCGATGAAGAAGACGACGCCCGTGTAGATTACAGATATCAGCAGGCCAATGGCAATCATTATGCCCAGCACCACCCAAGGAACCATCAGGTAATGATTGCGCTGTAAAAATATGTATGTAAATATAACTGGTATAATTTATATCAGGATATATATACGCACTTTGAGAACACCAGCGATCATTAGCAATGAAATTAATATTGTCATGCATAGATTTATCACCAATATGATTTTTACTATATCGTTTGGTATAAAATCGAAGATAATTGTCTTGAAATGCACACGTGTTGTGAATATCACAATTATCGTGATAATGGATAGCACAATGGCCAAGACTCCGGATATGACTGAGCCATTGCGTGTCGACTGGCACAAGCAGCAGGAGTTAACAAGTGGCTTCGGCATTTTGAATGAGATTTATAAATTAACTGAAAATAAATATTAAAGAAAAAACAACAATTTATTAAAGGTATTCAAACCATAACGGCAATAACCAGTTTAATTTATGTTCATTTACTTCAAGAAAATTCGACTAAAATTAAGTTGGATTAACATGGAATTAAGTAGTTGCAATTCTTCACACGCGTACCTGTTACAAGACGAACTGCTGAAACTTCAGGTACAAGAAATATAAGAGAAAATAATCTGAAATAAGAAAAACTCTTGTTTTAAAAAAAATTAAAACGAAAAATTTGTATATATGTACGCAACGGAGCTCGAGTTATAAAACAAAAAACAAATGTTTTCCTTTTTTATTTTTAAGTCGCGCATTTATTAAAAAACATATAATTTAATTACTCGAATTTTGTTGCAGGGAATATCATATTAGATGTAGTTTCTTTAGATATTTTCTTCTACAAAAAGGTAAATCCCTACCATTAACGTTATTTATATTTAGGTTCGCTGAACTGTTTGTCAGCATCATAAAATTAAAGAGGTGGTGTTGCAATTTTCAGATGCATTAGCAACACGTCGTTTGCTTTGGCCAATTTCACGTATCTTATCTGCCGTCCGCGACAACAAATAAATATACGACGTTTGTTTTTGCAGCAGTCTTACCAACCGCAAGTATTTATGGCATGTCTGTTGCTTACACCTTGACTTCATTGTCTATGGCCAAAGGTAAGGAGAAAACAGACTTCTGTGACGTCAACCATCGCACGAACATTTGGCCAGCTCAAATTGTTTATAAAACAAATCTCGTTTAAAATTAGAAAAAGCACAACAACAAAAGCGCCTGAAATATTCAAATGTTTTTGTACACAATAGATATGTGTTTAGTATGTACTATCTGGGTATATCAAATTGTTAAATATAGCTATGGAATAAATCAACAAATTGAACACAAATCTCCGTGGCAAAGACGCTGAAGCAACGCTTACAATGTTTTCTCTTGAAATTGTATACTAAATCAATTGAACAGCGCCAATTTGCTTGCAGGAGTTTTGGAAAGCTGATATCATCCACATGAGATACACACACACACACACACAACACATACATACAACAACTACACACAGATACATTTAAGCTATGCATCATCGATTGCAGCCTACGGGCATTGTCATTAAATTAATCAAACGCTTAACATGCAACGCCGACAACGGCAGCTCCAATTTGATGTTGGCACATGCAAATTCAAATTTAGCCGGTTCGTATCTATCGGATGCATAGCTACAGCTTGAATGTGCCGCCTAACAAGTTTGGGCCTGCGGCAATGCGACGTCGATGATGAGATAATCACACGCCAAAATGTCTTGTCATACATCGAAAACACTTTACAAAACGGTTCAAGTCTAAGATCAGGAACTATTGAATTTATATTTCTTTGTAAGTACCAATCTCTTTTGCCAGCTGGCCGTAAATTCAGTTAAGCAAATTTCCGTTGCGTTCACGTTTCTTCACACCTCACCAACAAAAAAAAAAACAAAAAATGGTCTAAATAAATATGAATGAAGGGGCAGAGAATGATGACCTAAGTCTCTTAACTCTTAGTCATCCTACTTAAAGAATTTTGTTTAGTTATTTAAAGAGAAGTTGAATTTTTCCTTGTTTTAGACCCATCCGTAAATAAACTCGTTTACTTATTTTTAAAGTTTTAAACTTTAAATAAAATTGCAATATGATAACCCCTAGTATTAATGTTGCTTAGACAGTAAGTTAGTTATCGAGGCATTTGTTTTTTCCTCAAATCAAATCAAACTTATAAATATTGTTTAAAATAGAGTTTATTTTATAGTGTGTTATATGCAAGTGTGTTATATGCTAAATATTCTGCATGTTTATATATTGTATGGGAATCTAATTGTATACCAAATTTGGTATTTCTAGCTCATATAGTCCCGAAAAATGGTTAAACAAACACCAATAAATATCGTTTTCGTGGAAACGGGCTAATCAAAGTGAGCAATAGGAAAATTTAAGTTATGAACTTCAAGTTTTTGGCTTTTATAGGCTCTGAGATCAACACAATTATAGCATTATAGCAGAACCATTCCAATTTTCAATGGGTATAAAAAAACCTCCCAAAAAAAAAAAACAGATGCGAGATAGCTCAAAAGCTCAAAAGCGAACAGCGCAAAAGCGTGCGAAGATGCGAAACAGAATCTTGAAAAAGAGCAAGAGTAAACACACTAAACAAATTACGCAATTAAATAGAATAGAGAAGGGGAGAGGAAGGGCTGTCGCATAAATGAGAGTAAACATTTTATTGGCACATACATATCAAGCACGTTGCGCTATAGTTGGGTATATTAGTGAGATCTGTGAGCGGTTTTAAAATAAATCAGACATGTGGCGCGTTTTCAACGCGTTTCGCACGCGTCTTCGGCCTAATAATTTAATTGTTTAAGTAGTGAATAAATTGAATTTGATGAAATTAATATGCGCAGTTGCCACAGACCTTCTATGGCTTCTATATACAATTACAAAACGCAAAAGTTTGCCATGTCTATTGTCATATGATACGCTTCGTATGTGGCAAGAGAGATTGCTCTAAATGCCCGATACCAAAGACTGTGCTGGATACTGTAATACCGGAGTACAGCACTTGAAGCTCTTAATGCGGCCAATTAGCTAGACTGTGAGACAACCCATATCCACTGGAATTGTGGCATGCCAACTATGTGAACCCACACACGACTGTCTAGGTGGCGGAACACCTAAGTGCTCTCGATGGGCAGCATACATCTCGCTATCAGTTGAGCAATGGTGGTGCGCCACGTTTTCCAGGCGAATCCATCTGCTAAAAGCCCCAGTAATAACCACATTAAAATCTAATAGTGACGTTAACTTCCGCTTGCATACAATTAAAATGTGCTGCCAGCTGGTATGTGGTCATAAGCTGCTTACAAAGCTCAAACTGAGTCAAGTTCAAGCGAACGCGTAGGCGGACACGAACGCGGCACACTGGCGACTCGCTAGCGACTTTTCTGAAGAATTTCCGCGGCGGCTTCGATGATTATGTGGGCTTCAGTTGGCAAGTGTTTGACAAGTGCAACTGGTTGCGCGATTGTCATAGTGCAACGTGTTGAAGTTCCCACCCACGCGCTTTTTAGCTGCAGCAGAGAAAATGCTGCTGAATGTCGAAAATTGTGAAAGGCTGCCAGCTAAAAGTGCTTGAAAGCGAGTGGAGCGAATGCAAGTGGCCTGTAAAGATGCATGTCTTTAAAGTTGCAGAAGAGAAGGCAAACAGATGTAGCTTTTAAGAATATGCAGCTACCGAAATGATTTTTTGTGTTAAGTGATCGAAAGACACATTTATCAGTTAGTTCCTTGAATTATTAATTTTAAAATATGAATCAGAATTATTTCTATTTCTTACTAGATTTCAGCAGACTGTTCTGAATAAGGCACAAAATATTAAGTACAAGACCTTAAATAATTGAACTAAAACTTAAAGCCAAGATTGAGCTCAATATGCATGTTATACATTTATACATTTTCGGTCTTAAAATAAAAATAACAATTCCAAACCAATGTTTTAAAGTTTTGACTTGTATTAAGTAAGGTATTGTAAATGAGAGAGCTATTTTTTAAAAATGTATATTTTGCTTTAAAAACCTTATATTTATGACAAAATATCACAGCTGCTTCAAGATAATAATTCACAGTTATCTGATAATTTAACTCTTTTGCAATACTGTATGTCTTCACATATGTTGTACAATTTATATGAATCCATATCGCAGGCTTAAAAAATCTGGAAAGAATTGGAAATATTTCTGTCCAGGCGGCAGTTTCTAGATGCAAGAAACATATACTTTAGTTGCATCTTGATGTGTCCCATTAAAATGTTAATAATTGAAAAGGTAAAGCATGTTTATCATGGTAGTCAATCGTGACTTATTGGCCTAACGACTAAACAAAAACCACCCGCAGTGAAAGCCGTGAAACGCATATTGTCAATATAAATCATGTCAAGTGCTCTGATTTTAAATCCAGCGGGCAGATAAAAAACGAAAGCCTCTACCTATATGGGTTAATCAAGTTCCACAAATCAATACGAGAAAGGCGTAAAGCATAATTTGCTTGTGCAGCTAGAGCACGTGTTCAGTTTTATTATCTTGTAGTTGAATGCATCTATTTGTTATTTATCTTTTAATCATCTACCGTGTTGTTGCTCACTTTAAACTTTGCCGAACTTTTGTTTGACCCGAGGCGCCCTCCGCCTCTCACACAATTTGTTTGCGCATCGACGCTTAATTAAATTTGACATTTTTTGTGCTACTTTTTACGCGCTACACAATACATACAAAAGCTTATTGTATCTGTTCTTCAATTGGGATTCGGTGTAGCCTAAAATTGCTCAATCTGTGGTGGCTAGTGGGCGCACATGTTTCCATCCGTTGAGCCCTGGCAAACCGGTCAAAAATCGTTCTACCAAATTTGACAAGTTAAAAGCACGCGGCGAGTTTTTGTTTTCTTTTTTTTATGTATATATATATATGTGTATATTTTTGTTTTTACCAAAACTCGAATTGTGACTTGGCTTTTGGGAATGATAATTTTCCTATATACGTTGATTGTTTGTTAGTCTTTCCGCTTGAGGCTTTCAATCACTTGACTGGTAAATGCCACAAGTATATATCAATTAAAATGGTTGCAGCTGCATTACTCGATAGCCGCCTTTGAAGTTGCTGGGTGAACGAACGTTATTCATATAAACTTTTAGCACACGCACATGGCGCTATGTATCTTTGAGATACATTTTGGCGCGTATCTAGCTTAATGCTGTGCGTATGTGTATCGCAATAGACTGCTGTCAACATCAACATCATGGTCATGAACAGACATTGAACGCGTCCAACAACTAAATCTAATATAATTCTCTTAGATTTTCCTTTCGCTTTGTGCTCAAGCGAAAGTGAGAAACCTATGAGAGAAAACATGATATAAAAAACTGCCATAAAAATGATTCATTTGAGAAACGAGCAAGCGCACAAATACAAAATGAATTATAAATAGTCTACAAGGTCGCGAGAATTGCGATCTCTAAAAATCTATATATTTTAGAAAAAATAATATGATTTTAGTCGGCCTCTGTTGGCTCGGGCAGTCGGGGCAGCTACCTCAGAGATGTGTGTAATGTAAGTATCTGACACTATGGGCTTAATCAATGCATACAACAATAAAATGTGAATCTAAAAAGTGCTTGCCATATAGTTTTGTCGGTGACAGATGAATTTAAAAATACATTTATTTTACATCAATTTATAAATGATTATCAAAAAACCTTTTTTCCAAAAAAGTTGGTATATATGTTCGTGATTTATTTCCCCTTCAAGATGTTCGTGTACCACTGTGCCAAAGTCAACGCCTACTCCTATATAAGTATGAAGGTGTGCGGCTCTCTCGTTTATGGCATTAGAACATTTTTCTAGAAATGTATTCCATTTAGTATTCCGCTATTTTATCTTGTTGCGTGCCTGATTGCCTTGTAAATTTTAACCTTCACGTTTTGTTGCTCTTTCTTTTGAGATTTTAAGGGGCATTCACTGCATAAGTAATGTTTGAACGGGTATTTTCAGTTGGTACATCAAAATCCCTATTATATATATTATATAACTCATGGGTATCTTTGTTTTTGATTTTGTTATGCTGATCAGATTTCATATTTTTTGAAAACTTAAATTTAAAACCTGAAACTAACAATCATTTCGATGATTCTATATCAGAAAATTAGATATTTTGACTTTCCAGACGATTAACTGCAGCCCAAATTACATTGGTTCTCGGATATATAAGCTGCAACCAAAACAATAATTGACGAACCATAAGTTTCAAATACATTTTTATTTTAAAATGTGAATGGAACAATTCTATATTTAATTTTCATAGATAAGCAAGGGGATAAATTTAATCCCTACTCAATATGGTTATATAATGCACTGATTGGCTTTCGAGTTTTTTATACCCCAAAAGCTATGTTCGGGTTTCGTTCAACTGTTTTTTGGGCAACTGGTATGGCTTGGGACACGGTTCATATTAAATATTAAGGTGGAATTCCGGGTTTGGACCAGTTCTCTTCAAAACCGGCTCGCAACTAGATATGCCCTACAGTACAGGGCAATCTATAGTCAATAAACGTAAACTTTTTGCTTTGTTTTTATTTCATGTTCATTAGTTTTTAATGTGTATGCATAATTTAACTTAAAAGGGAACCCAATGGTACGTTGTAGTTGCCCTTAATTGATGTACGTCCGGCGATTTTAGATTAAATTAATTATAGTACTATTTTTTTGTCCGTAGCAACAAAAATAAAGAAATATACACTATTTATATAAAATCTTTGTCACACATGAATCTGGTACGACTTTATTCTGGGCTCGTCGCTTCTTATTGGGCATGAATGTGATTTTTATTGGGCACAGCTGACTAGCATATCTAAAAAGTAGCTCAAATCGTTTGCCAAAAATTATAATTTATGCAAATAATGCGTATACGCCCATGCAGGCCACTGTACTTTTCAAGCAGTTTTCACACAAGTTGGGTTTATTTGTAAATTCGATATGATGTGCATTATTTTAAACGCTTTAACATATGTTTCATATTTGTGTTCTGTTTTTAGTCGGAGATCTTGAGGTCCAGAGACGTTTTCAGCTCGCATGCCCAAAAATAACTTTCAGCATTACAGGTTGTCGATGCTAAATTCAATGTCAACACGTTCTCAGGCAGTGGGAGATGAAGCTGACATCATGTCGGGCACTGCAGCAGAGCTACAGTTGAGCTCAGAGCAAAGGAAATACATAACAGACTTTATATAGTATATGCATAGTAAATATGTACATATATCCATGTCTATATGGAGCACAGTTGCAAAAGCAAAAAAAAATTTTCAAAAAAAATAAACAAACAAACTTTTGTTGTGCTCATAATTTTTCATCAATGCCGTCAACAAATTGGGTCAGCCGCAATTGCACGATCAGATCCCAAACGGGAGTCAAAACAATCAGTAGGTATTATTAGTAATAACATTTAATTGTGGCTGTTTGGTTTGTTTTGCTCAGCGTATTAATTATAATTTGTCGGGTTGCTGTTGCAGGCGCTCAGAAATAGATGAGCTTTGAAACGCGATCGTGCCGAAGTCGAAGTCAAGTGATCATTGGATCATTTGAATATTGAAATTGCTGTCGACGACGAAAACAACAAGAACAACAACACAGACAACTTGAACGACAACGACAGCTAAATGAAATTGAATATATTTTGTATAAATAATAAAAAGAAAAACACGACTGCCTCTGCGACTTGCGACTGTCAACGGCAGACGATCGCCTCAGACTCAAACAGCTGGGGTATTGGGACTAGGAACTCGGGTAGCTCGGTTCCCCCACCAACCAAAAGCTGTACGCCTGTTATTTCAATTTCGTGGCGATCGTTTATCACTTGATTTGCATTTGGCAATCGATCGATCGATCAAGCTGCCCAATGCCCAGGCACGAAGGCAAAGACTATATACATATACTTTGAAATGGCAGTTGCATTCGCTTGCCAATTGGCTGCTGATAATGTCAGACACTTGGCATTTGAATTAGCATTATCCATCCGCATTAAATGCTGCCAAATATGTCGGCAGAATGCCAATTTCAATTTCACTTACACTTTCTACTTTTGCGCGCACTTTACTTTTTATTGAAAGCCTATTTGCACCCACAATTAATGACAATTAATTATTTTCATGTATTCAGAATATTTGATCGTATGCCTGCTTTTATTTTAACACGGCGTTTGGCTCGGTTTTTGCGCGCGTTTATGTTGTGGTTGCGGCGAGTTTCACGTAGCGACTGAAACCGCGCGCTGCTCATGCGAGTCGCATAGAGAGGCGATTGACAGCAACGGCAATCGCTCTCAATGTTGGCTGCTGTGACGCGGACCGCTGCGTTGATTAAGTTTTTTCTGTGGCGTAGAAAAGTTCTGAAACTAAAGGTTGCTTGCTATTGCTTAAGCTTTCGTTGAGGAGCTTTCTCTGCGTTGGGAGCTTGTAAATCTAAAAACCTGTTATTTTGCTCTTTGTTTTTCTGTGCGCGCGTCTCCTCCATAATATTATCAAACAGAAAACCAAAAACTTAACATTGAACCTTTGTTTGTTTGTTCGACGGTATCAGTTACAACGTTTTGCACTAGAAGTTCCAACAAATCATTTAAACTCGCTCATTACTTGGGCCGCCGGTCATAGTTGTTGTTGTTGTTGTCATTGGATTTCTAAGAAGTCTGCTGCACATGAGCGTCTCGCACGCCATCCTGTACCAACTGCAGCCCCACTCTCCGTCCCAGCATCCGTACCCCATGGTATGAAGACTAGTCATTTAAGATACGCGCCATAGATATGATGCCAACACGCTCGGCAGTCGCCCATTTTTGGTTAGTGGTCTGCTTGCCAGTTAGTGGTTTCTACTTTGTTTTTTGGCCATTTCACCTATGTGTACAAATGGTAAATGCCTAGATTCAACTTATTGGCAGTTTGGTTCCTTTTCCATTGGAGAGAGTTTGTGGGCAGCTTACTACTTTCCTTCCATTTCTATTTTTATTCTCATTTTTTGTACTTTTCATATCTTGATGAGTCGGTATACTTTGTTTGTTGCTAGTTAATTAAGCGTTAATTTCTTGATCAGAACAACATGTTTTTAGGCAAACCCCTTTCAGTACATATGTACGTATATCGGCCGACATAAGGCACTATGTCATATTTGTATCGGTATAAAATATTGACTTCTTTTCCGCATAGCTTAATGAAATGAGTTATGTATCAGACTGTATTACTTAGCTAATGTTGTTGTACGTGTGGCCAAGTAATTAAATATATTTCGCATTATATATATATTTTTGCAAGAGTATTCAATCTTCGGCATTGTGAGGATACCTACTTTTTATTGCTTGACCCAAAAATGATCAATTGTATGTAAATTTGTGCTAAGCTTCAGGTCGCAAAATAAAATCTCCTGGGAAGTTCACCGGAGCACATCGATAGTGATTCTCTTTTTCTTTATACCCTATACCCATGAAATGCCTTCAAATGGGTAGCAATGTTCAAACTATCAAAAGGTAGCATATACAAATCCAAATTCTAAGTGCATATGGTATATGTACAATAGAAGTCAACTCAATATACTAAATAAAATAAGTTAGTATCTGCATAAAAAATCGTCAGTTTAGATTGTCTAAGATTAAATTACAATATACTCGAGTATTCCCATTATGACTCGGTTAATTAATATGATGTCGAGGGTATTAAAAAATAGGCTACCTAGGATGTATTTATTTTCTTGCTTGAATCATTATAGACAATAGTGAACCTCGGTGAAATAAAACGGAAAATAGAGTTATATTTCTCCTTTCTTTTCCGCTTTAAGAGTAAATTTGAGATGTAACATAATAATTTGTTTCTCTTGATCAAAATCATCAGATCAAAAGGTCAACTTACTTTTTTTGTGGAACGCTCGATAGCTAGCGGAGCCCTTTACAACAAGTAATACACAAATATAGTCTAAGCAGATGAATAAGACTATTGGGACTTGATAAGCATTTACTGAGAACCTTTTTTTTCGGGGACACCAATTAGGTCACTATAAGCCAGCGACATTTTTATTCAGCGTTGTATTCTAAGATTTGCATATTTCAACAATTAAAACAGAAGACCTTATGTTGCATTAACACAATTTTTCACATAAGGGGATATAACATACGATTATAACATATATTTCGTTATTGAGGCCCACTTTGCAGCTTTACAAGTCTTAGAGTCTTACCGATTTATTTCATATAATATAATACGTAATTAATTATTTTTAAGCTCAACGTGGACTTATAATATGAAATGCAATACTCTCTTATCGTAGACAGTCTTAATTAAAGCTTAACAAGACAAGTACGTGCTAAACAAGATATACGAAGGTACATATAGGATCTGGTTGCTTTATTTAGTATAGAATTTCAATCTGTTTTTCTCACTCGACCACGAATTATCAATTTAGACACTATTTACTTACAGATATACTATAATACTATATATATTTTCGAAAAAAATAATAAGACATAATATTTAGCAATGTACTGGTTGTTTTGGCTGTATATTATGTTTTATTTGAAAATTTATATATTTTACAGTAAATAATTTAGTCAGGTATATAGAGAAATAATTAAGATTATTAATTGTTCAGCAGTATAGCGTAACATTAAAGAAAACGAGCCCTTCTTTGTGTGTGTCCTCTCTAGGGATGCGTAGTTATTGATATACGTCTGCTTTGTAGCTTGTAATTCACTTTTTTGCGCAATTTAACCAATTTGATTTGACATTGACTATCCTGGAGTCGATCGCTGGCCTCGATCGCTGCCTCCGGATTGCGACTGCTGCTTTTGCTTTGCTTTGTTTTAAAACTGACTATGCCTAACAAAAATTTTGTGTGACCTACAAAGATTGCACGGATGCACGCTGTTCGAGCTGGTACTGGAATTAACGTTTTTATTTGCTCTTGCCAGAAGCAGCAGCAGCAGCCGCCGCGTCCTCCTCTTTTTTCTTTTGCTTCTCTCGCATTACTTCAGCGTCCCTATAAAATATTGTTAATATTGTAGACGGTCGTACAGCCTCTAAGGCAACTTCCTACTTACCGGGCTTTGCGTTGTTCTACCGTGAGGCTATCAGTGCGCTTGCCTTTGGTCTGTTCAGCCAACTTTTTTTGGTTTTTGGCGCGCGCCAGGTCTCGCTGATTGCCACCTGTAGAAGGACTAAGAATTATTATCTAATTTACAATAACTTTATATGTAAAAAGATCACAGACTTTCCGTTTAGTTACGCATGCTAATTTGTTCTAGTTTAGGTAGAGAGGTTAGAAGCATACACGCTATGCGTGTATACTATATACGCTATACATCTATATACAGGCGTCACAGGTCTATAAATCGATAATCATGCGCCAATATTAAGGTAATCAAATCATAATACAAATTTTTGTAGCTTGGTAGTTATTTTAAAATATATACAACCGTTTGATGTATCCAATAAATCCACAATAAACAACAACCGAAAACAAAGAAATGAAGAACGAAGTTCACCGTCTGCCTACTTACGTGTCATTTTTGTGCTCCTTTTGGGCAGCTCCTTTGTTTAAACAATTTTGATCCAAGTATTATATGTTTTATGCTCTTACTCGTAAAATTTTTTGTTTTATATTTCGTGTAGTTGTACTGTCAAACGTCAGCAGCAGTGTGTTAAAGCATCGATACTGAAACCTTTCTGCTTATCAAGTAAATATCGATATCGACAGTCAGTCCCAATTATGAAATCATCGTTACTTATCGGTATATTAATAACGTTCATATTATTGTCTATGCTTAGGATAGCTGGGAAACAATTTAAAATCATTGATTAATTCTTTATATATGTTAACTTAAACAAATCGAGTTATCATTTATATTAAATGTGTTGGTAAATGCGAACACAAGTATTGCCAGCCTCAAAAATTTTTATTTACCGTTTAAGCTCTGTCGCGCGCTGGCATCGTCCGTAGCCTTTAGTATAGTCAGCAATTTCATTCTTAAAAGTACTTACTGTGCGTTTCCTTCAAAATGGATTCGGATCTGATGGACTTTTTCGATTTTTCGAAGCAGTTCAAGCGGGGCACAGCACTGAAAGGGTGTATAACTGGCGATCCGAATGCCCTTACAACAGAGAGTAGGGACTCCAAGCCTATCAAGCGCGAGACAATCGGCACAGATTATGTGAACGAAATCGTAGAGAAAGAAAAGCAACTTATGAACAAAGTAAGCATAAGATAGCGCTGCGGCTTCACGCGAGTGTGTGTGTGTGATAGAGAGGGAAGTTTGTTATTGGATCTTCGTATTGTTTATTTCCTTGACAGCTCGTCGATGGTCAAAGTGTGGCGAAACGTAATCGAACGCTCGATGAATTGGACAGCGATGATGAGGAGGAGAATATTCAAGAGGTGCCCAGCGTGCGCTCAGATGAAGCATATTATGAGAAATACCGATTCGATTTAAATCGCAACAAAAATCTGCCAATCTACGCGCAGCGTGAACAGATTATGGAAGCCATCAGAGAAAATCCCGTTGTCATATTGAAGGGCGAAACAGGCTGTGGTAAGACTACACAGGTATGTACTTATGCTAAGCACTCCATCTATACATCCATGTATAGCTTGTACAATTGCTCGTTTTTTATTTCACAATTACCATGCATTTGTGCCAGCTAATAGAAAATATTAGCTCAATCAAAAGAACTAGTTCACAAATGATATATAAAGTTGGGATCACTTTGAGCTTAGTGATCCTATCTTATCGTTTTGTCGCGAATTCTATGTGCCCAAGCCTTTTATTTTACTCTTGGTTTATATTCATATTCATATTGCTTTAGATTTGTGGCCAACAGCTGATTCAATAATCATGAGATACATATTCATATACCTACCATTTAAAACACATCTTAACAAATCTTATTAAATAAAAGAAACTAGCATTAGTTTAAGGGCTGTATTTTCTAATACGAACTACGCTCAAATATTATTACATTTACAATTAAATTTAATTTTTAAATTTGGTCCATAGAACTAGTTTACATTTTAAATGCATTTAGCATTCCAAATCTCTAATCACATCATCTGGCAGTTTACGCCCAAAAATCGTCGCTGAGGACATGCGTCGCTCGTGTGGATCGCGTGCTTCAGACATCGGCTGCTCAACTACCTCTTCTGTTGGCAGCTTTTCTTTCAATTCGCCAAACATTGCCTTTTGGCGGGCGCGTTTTCTCACTTCCATCTGGTCATTTGTCCCTGATGAGGTCGCAGGCTCCTTGTCCGCTAATAGATCGTTGATCTCATAGAAAACAATTTGCAGCTGACTGAAAATGTTTGTCGCAGGAAAAGATGAGCGGTGCGGCTCCATCTGCTTGTTGTATGCCGCCTCAAGCTGGCAAAGAGGCTTGCAGTTGGCGACCAGCTCGGCTAGCCCATGCAGCTCCTCGCCAAGATTGCAGGCGCTTGGTTTTCGCCGCTGTTGCAAAACTGCAGTTGTATTACTCTTCTGCTGTTTGGCTTCCGCAAAGCTCTCCAAGCTGTCGTAAGCGGCCAACGCATCCAGAGCCTGACAGTAATCTAGAGCCGTGAAGCGAAACGCATAGTCTTGGACCAATTGCCAGAATATATAGCTCACTTGCTGGGTGTCGCATTGCTCGGCGCTGTTGAGGCGCAGTTGCTCCACATAGCCGGTTAAAGATTGCCAAGTGCGAGGTGACACCTCAATCTTGACAAAGCACTTGGTGGGCTGCTTGTTGTAGATGGCATACAGCAAGTAGATGGCGCCAATGCGTTGGGCGCGAGTCGCCTGGAATGGTTCACCGTTGGTTCGGCGACCACATGCCACACGTTTGGCCACGTGCAGCGCCGCCATGGTTGTCTCAATTACCTCGATATGATTGGTTTGCGCTGAGTAGATGTGTTGCATTTGCAACTCATGCCATGTCTGACAAAACAGTTCAAATTTGGCTTCCTTAGAGACTTCGGCAGCGCGTCCAAAACGCTGAAGCAGCTGCCAGCAATCGTCGTAAACATTTTGTTCCATTCAACGTTATTAATTAGATCTCGTTTTGTTTAGATCTGTTGTGTTTGCACATTATAATTTGTTTACCACTGCAGCACACAGCGTTGCCACCTGAGCGGACTATCGTTTTAACCCTCTTAAATATGGCAATAATTTTTTAGTTATCGATTATTGTGTTATACCTTTTCCCCGCCAGGTGCCGCAATATATTTTGGATGAGGCATTTAAACGGCGCGAATTTTGTAATATTGTCGTCACGCAACCGCGCCGCATTGCAGCTATTTCGATTGCCAATCGTGTTTGCCAGGAGAGACAGTGGCAACCGGGCACTGTTTGCAGCTATCAGGTTGGTCTACATCGGCAGTCAAATGTGGAGGACACTCGTCTATTGTACTGCACCACAGGCGTTTTGCTGAACAATCTCATACGCCTGAAGACGCTCACCCATTATACGCACATTGTCCTGGATGAAGTGCACGAGCGTGATCAGGACATGGACTTTTTACTGATTGTAGTGCGACGTCTGCTCGCGATGAATTCACGCCACGTTAAAGTCATCTTGATGTCGGCTACAATTGATACGCGCGAATTTTCCAAATATTTTGCCACCAGTTCAGCCTTCCCGCCGGTGGTCACCGCCAGCCATGGACGCAAATATCCGCTGGTCAAATACTATCGCGACCAGCTGAAAAATATTCACTGGAAGGATGAGCCGCAGGAGAGAGAACCGGGCATTGGACCTGAGGGCTATGCTGACGCCATAAAAATTCTTTTGGTTATAGATAATATGGAACGCAAGGCAGTCGGCCAATCCCTACAATCCTATGAAGAAGCTAAACGCACCGGCTCCGTGCTCATCTTTTTGCCGGGCATTAATGAGATTGACACAATGGCGGATCATATAACCAGCGTCATGGAAGAGAAGTAAGTAAACAAAAACTTGTGCTAGTGTACAATCAAATGAAATAGCTCTCGAGGATTTTAATTGAATAAATCGACAAGAATCCTAAAGTTAGATTTCTCGTCACATTCCCTTCAGTTAAATCATTCAAGTTCTATTTTAAGTGTAATGAGTTGCTGTTAATCTATTTTTATTTTCACACAGTCCTAGCATGAAAATCACCATTGTGCGCTGTCATTCGTTGATGGCGCCCGAATCGCAGGAGGAAGTCTTTCAGCCCCCATTGCCTGGCCATCGCAAGATCATACTGACAACCAACATTGCGGAGAGCTCAATAACTGTGCCAGATGTCTCTTATGTAATTGATTTTTGCCTCACTAAGGTTCTGCACACCGATACGGCAACCAATTACAGCTGCCTCCGTTTGGAATGGGCTTCCAAGGTTAATTGTCGTCAACGTGCTGGACGCGTTGGTCGCCTGCGTAGCGGACGAGTTTACCGCATGGTCTCTAAAGCCTTTTATTTGGAGGAGATGAAAGAGTTTGGCATACCCGAGATGCTGCGCTCGCCGCTTCAGAACTCGGTGCTCAAAGCCAAAGAGCTTGAGATGGGAAGACCTAGTGAAATTCTAGCGCTGGCCATGTCACCGCCAAATCTTTCAGACATACAGAACACGGTATTGCTGCTAAAGGAGGTGGGAGCCTTGTACACTACAGTGGATGGCGTTTACGAGGAGCTTGATGGTGATCTTACCTACTGGGGTACAATTATGTCACGGCTTCCGCTTGACGTTCGTCTAAGTCGCCTTATCATACTGGGCTACGTCTTCAATTGCCTGGAGGAGGTCATTGTTATAGGTAAGTGGTAAGCCCAGACAGTGAACAGAACCTTTTTAAGAAATTATCTTTTATAGCTGCTGGCATGACTGTGCGCAGCTTGTATCTGACGGGAAAACGTAGGCAAGTGAATGATGCCTTTTGGATGCATTACATCTTTGCCGATGGTTCCGGGTCCGATATGGTTGCCATTTGGCGTGTGTATCGAGTAAGCAACACCTAGTGAGGTAGCTGAGATATTTTCTATATCTGTTGGCTTATTCCAGATCTATTTGAACATGTGCCAGGATCGAATGCTTAAGGAGTCAGCAGAACAATGGGCCAGACGCTTTAACGTTAATTTGCGCTCGCTCAAGGAGATGCATTTGATGGTGCAGGAATTGCGTCAGCGTTGTGCATCTGTTAATTTGCAGCCCTTACCCTATGGAACTAGCCAGATGTGGGATGATCGCGAAAAGTCCATAATTCTCAAGGTTATCATCGCTGGCGCTTTCTATCCCAATTACTTTATGCGCAGCAACAAATCAAATGCAGACTACGATCGCAGTTTGTTTCAATCTATTTGTGGCAATGACCCATGTCGCACCGTCTTCTTCACCCACTATGAGCCCCGCTACATGGGCGAATTATACACACGACGCATAAAGGAGCTCTTCTTAGAGGTGAAAATTCCACCGGAGAACATGGACGTTACCTTTCTGCACGGCTCGGAAAAGGTGTTTGTCACATTTAAGGCGGACGACGATGAAATGGACACCACAAAAGTCGTGCAGGTGCCGGGTCGCGTCATGACCGAGGTTTACAAAGCGGTACGCATGCGACTTGATAATCAAAATCGTCCATTGCGTGTTATGGAGTAAGTTTAGCCGCGCTAATTTGACAATGAATATTCAACTATATAATAACTAATATTACCGTTTGGTTTGACAGTCAAAACTCGGCCCTTAGGTACGTGCAGGACCGAAAAATTGGCGTGGTTAATGAGTGCACCTGGTTTCCGCCAGCCAATCAATGGAATGTTGAGCTGCTTACACTGCCATCTGTCTTTGCCAAGCACATTACTGGTCTTATTACTTATGTAAGTGTACTTTTATTATCTTTATGAATTTAAAAATTCTTGTCAATATATGTTAATGGTAATATGCAGTAAGATTAATATTGTAAAGGGATTCTTACAACACAAAAATTGTGCCTTGATCAAGAGTGGCTCGACCTTTCTTATTATGGCGCCGTCAATCATTTTAACTGCTCCAGAAATTAAGCCTCCTCAGCTTCCCAGTCAATCTTCTGAACTGGATCTTAGAGTATTTGCCTAACAGAACTCAAAAGGTTCTTTTCAGAAATTTGTTTTCTAAAAGTATTTAGGTGACTTCAGATGTTTTCCAAGGGAGTCACCTTGGTCCGCTTTTCTTTACCATTTTTATCAATCGATATCCTCGTTACCACTCTCGAGTACTTATGTATGTTAATGATGTAAAGTTGTGCCTTGCATATAAAGATATGGCCTAGTAATCTTTTACTAGCCGACATTGATGCCTTTCAGTCTTGTTGTCAAGTTAACATGTTGAATTTAAGCTGTTCGAAATTCAAGGTAATGACTTTCCAAAGAAGCTCTCCCCAAATGGACGCTTACACCCTTGATAGCTTACCGCTTGTCAGCAGTACCAGTTATGAAGTTAATGATCTAGGTGTTATTTTTGGTATAAACTTAAATTCGACTAGCAGGTTATGTCCGTGGTCAATCAGGCCAGAATTAGTTTGGGTTCCACCAAGCGATGGTCAAAGACCCTTTTTATATCTCTGGTACGACTTATTTTTAAATACGCTTCTTGTATCTGGTCACCATAATATTCCATTCACCAAAAAACAATTTTTGTTATTTGCATTTCGTGGCTTAAACTGGGATCCTCGCTTGCGGTTACCGTCATACTCAAGTAGACTTCCTTTTTTAATTAATTGTAGAACTATGCTTGGTGTAATATTCAATTTAAAGTTAATTAGGACTGAAATCGACTCTTCTGGGTTGACTAGCCAATTAAACTGCTCTGTTCCTACAAGACTACACGTAATGAAACACTTCGCTTAAATGTTGTTCAACTAACTATGCCTTACATGAACCGTTCCAGATCCTCAGTGATAATTACAACAAGCATTACAGGATATTTATTCTATATAGTCTTACCCTATAGTCTTAGTTTATATTCGTTGTTGTACTTCGCGACTTGTGTCGTACGTAACAAAACTGCGCCACTCAGTCGGTTGGTCTGGAGGTGGGCTGCAGCACATCGGGGATATGCACGAAAAGTACTCCTGCTGAAGGAGTCTTCGTCTGAACTGGTGAGAAGCATTTTGCCCAGATGCTTCCTCCTACCTCAAGTAATACTTGAACATTCGCGGAGAATATGCAATAATAATAATATTATGAATATAATATAATATAATATTGGATACCAAGAATGAAGACTTTTGAGCTTACATTTTGTCGTACCTATTGATAAAAAAATTTATATCGATCCCAATCAGATTCGACTTCTGTTAACAATAAAGAAGAACGCACGCCATGTAACGGTTTGAATTAATTCATCTTATTTATCTTGCAGATTGTAAGCTGCGGCAAGTTTTATTTCCAGCCACGTGCACTCGCTGAGAGTATTGCGAGCATGTCAGAGATATTTAATGGACCGCAGCAGCTGAGCTGTCACGTGCGGAATGCGCGCGCTGTTACGAAGGGTCTGCAGCTGCTGGCCAAGCGTGGACACCTCTTCCAACGCGCTGTAGTCTTAAGGATAGAGACGCAGACAAATGGGCATCCCAAGTTTCGTGTACGTTTCATTGATTATGGAGATGTGGCAGTACTGCCCATGGATCAGTTGCGTCTGATGCCGCATGAGTTGAAACGCGACTTTGATCAGTTGCCGCCGCGCATGTTCGAATGCCGCTTGGCTCTGGTCCAGCCATCGACGGTGACAAGTTCGTATAACCGCTGGCCCAAGGCGGCAAACGATATGTTGATCTCGGTCGCCAAATGCGGTCATCTAGAGCTGGAGGTCTATTCGCTGGTGAATAACGTGGCCGCTGTTTTGATACACATGCGCGAAGGCGTGCTCAACGATAGACTGGTGGAACGCCAGTTAGCTCGACGTGCCGACGAGGACTATATGTCGCGCAAGGATCACGACTTGCGCAACCGCAAGCAGGAGGCCAAACGTAATATTCCCGTCTCAGAGCAGGAGTGCATCAATGAAGAGTATCTGCGGTTTGCCCAGCTTCCAAAGGATGTGGATTTGGAGCCGCCACCTCTAGATAAATGCAATCTCAGTATACGCCTAAGGGGACCTTTCAGTCCGCTCGAGACTAGCATGAATTCAATGCTTCGTATTGGGATGTATAAGTCGGTGACAATTGACAAAGACTCGGTGAATGCTGTATTGTTGGATACCGATCCACAGGATCGTCACGATCAGATGGTGGTGGCTGCCTCAGTGACCGAGACAGACAACACTGAAAGGTTGACGGCACGCGGCACAACTTTAATGCCTAATATACATGGCTTCGGTGCACTCATGGCCATGTTATTCTGCCCCACCATGCAAATCAAATGCAATAAGGATCGTACAAAGTATGTTTGCCTCTTGGCCGGCCTCGGCTTCAATCCCGAAACTATGGAGCCGTATTTCGCAGAGCATGATATGGTCATTAATTTAGATGTCACCATACTTAAGGATGATATCCGAATTGTAAGTGTTTTGTCATGAGATTATTATGTATTAGAATATTATAAGAATGATAGAGATCATTCATTTAGTTCTATAAATACAATATTTAACAAGGTTACAAACTTATGTTTTAGCATAAACCGCATGTTTACTAATGCATTAAATATTTGTATTTTAGATAAACCAAATGCGTTATAATATTGACAGCATGTTTTACAATTTCGATGCCAACGAAATACCTTCGGTGGGTACGGAGGATCGGGTTGTCATATTCAATCAATTGCGTTCTTTGTTAACTCGGTTTGTGCACAAAATCAAAATCTAGCACTTCCCAACATTAAGATTGTAAATTCTTAAAATCTTTATTATAGATTGCTTGGCAAGGATCGGAGTTTTATTGAACGTCACGTGTCAAATTCGGAATATCTTTGGGAAGACATGTCTGACCTGGAGCCACCTTCGGAACCATATGGCAAGCGTGCTATATTCCCCATGCACAGCTCATATGATTTGGAGAATGAGAATTTGAGCAATTTGTTGGAGCTACAAGCGAATTGCAAGCTACTATACGACTGGCGAAACTTGTAAGTATCCCTCAGTTTAAATGAAGATCTGATTTAAGAAACTGATTCGTTTGCAGCGAGGGTAATTTGCAGACCCAGACATGTAGACTGTGCAACGAGTCGCTCGAAAGCGTCGCCGAGTTGCGTTTGCATTTGCTGACTCAACTACATCGGGATCGGGAAAAGCAAGTTGGCTATAAGCAGCAGTAAAATAAAAATCAGTATAACACAATTTAGTTCTCTTAAAGTGCAGTTCACGTTGGGTTTGTGAATGACAGTCTGACACAACAATTATAGTTTTATACCTAAATACGTTATTACAAGAAGATAACTTCTAAATCTATCGAATAAAGCAAAGTACTTTAAGCAAATGACATTGCAAAGTTTCCTCTTATGTTCCAAGAGGTAATTCAAAGTAATTCGAACAAGTTAACATTTAAGAAAACGTTATTACAATTTAAAAGCTTAACTAGGTCATTTAAGTTAATTGAAAAAAGTTTCATTTAGTATTGCCGATGTCCAAAAAAGGGTTTCATGTGAAAATCATTATTGTTTTATTTTTCTTAAAGCAAATCTAATTGACCTTAACGAAAATTTATGATGTTTTGTTGTCATTTCAAATATTTACTACAATCATTTAAATAAACGCAAGCTATGTTGAGCAAAACAAAAAATTTGAAAATATCTAAATGGGGATCCCAATAAGTATGCTATAATTTGTCGAAGCTCTGAAGCCGATATGCGTCAGTGTGAATTATAATAGAAGCCCAGATCTAATTATTATTAAGTTTTAATTAAGTTACATTTGTTTTTTATCCTTTTTGGTTTTATTTTTAAAGAACCAGCTGCGCTGAACCAGCTTAGTTTTCGTGTGCTCTTCTAGGAGGCCCTTCTGTAGCGTTATTTTTACATAAGTTATACTTTATGATCATCCCTATGTAAGAAGTACTTCAGATACATTCCGCACAGGTGTCGGCGTTGATGTTGATGTCGGTGTCGGTGTCCCTCTCGTATCCAGATCGCACAGTGTGTAATTTTGCATGCGATTTAGTGGCTTGCTGCAGAGACCGCACATTTGATGCTTGTAGACGCCAAAAATCTCAAAATTCAAGATGTTGTACAGGTCGAACTGAATGGTGGCGCTTAACTTGGTGCACTCGACGATCAGAAGGTTTTGTTCGTTGAGTTCCACGCTGCAGCAAAAGCAAGATCACATTATTTAAAAACCCTTAATTGCGAGAGCCAGGTGCTGGTTAACCTACCGGAATGCGTAGTCGCTGTCATCGATTGGCCATTGATATGGCTTCAGGCGCACATCATGTGCTGTTTGTGCCTGATTTACATAAATGAAGACAGGTGCCTCATCCAACTGACTGCTATTCCCGGCACGAGAACGTAAATTGAAATAGTTGGGGCCAATGTGTACACGCAGGCCGTAATTGCTGGCCAGGCTCTGGGCGTCCGGTGAGGTTGTTAGGAAAACGGCCATTTTCGGCTGTGGGGAACAATCGGCCACCAGCAGAGTAAGGCAATCCGGCTGTGCAGTAATCTCGGCCAAATTGATGAGATAATCATCGAATGAATTGATCATACCATTGATTACTGAGCAGGAACGCTTCAAGCCCGAATCATAGGTCAACTCGTGCGATGCATCAAATTTAGAGTCGAGCCTGTAGAGGAACGGTATGTGATAGATGCGCCAATGGACTCCATTCACCTCCACAGTTAACCAAAAATGATCGTGCGGCGTGTGAATCGTTATATTAATCTGTTGACTCATATGCAGGCTATCCACCTTGTGGGCCGACAGGGCGGATACCAGATGATCCAGACGCGTGGACCACAGCTCAAACCAGGCGGGCATCTAAAAAACAATGATTAATCCGATATTCGATTTGCTTGATTCCTGATTCAATTATTACATTATTAAATTTAAGGTCCATGTCATATTGTGTGATGGAAGTGAAATTTTCAAAGTTGCTGCGCTTGCAATACTTCGATGTGGGTATGGGCGAAAACTTGAGCACCTCCTTGGGACAGAAATCGGTGTCCGTCAGCGAGATTTTGTCTGAGCGTAAAAAGGCGCGTGCATGCTCCGACGGCTGCATTAGAATGGAACACACATCAGTTGCCACAAATGTTTGCAACATAGTTAATACTTACGCCTGCGCGTGCCGCAAACTGCACCTTGGAGCCGGTTTCAGGGCATTCGCCATTGTCGGCGGCCAATCCAAAGACCACATACCCATTGAGTGTGTGCGGGCGTTTGGTGAAGACAAGAGGTTCATAGGTCAACTGGGAGCAGGCCTGCAAGAGAGACAGTAGCACACAAAGTAAGCTAAGAAGTCAACAACGGTTTCAAGTGGCTGCCACTGACACGCACCAAGTGGCACTCATTAAAACTGCACCCTGTATAAGACACTTCAAGCAAGCACACTGCTGGTCATATCAAAAGAATCAGCATGTTGCAAAGATTTGGCATAGATCAGAAGCCATAGACAATTCTTTCAGAACCAATACATTTTCTAATATCAAAAATGTTTTGCTAACTTTCTGCAATCAGCTTAAATTTTTTTAAGATTGGAATAATGATATTATATCTGAAAAAAAATAAATATTTTAGTCAATCTTACAACTAAAAGTATTTGTAATGATTGAAGAAAATATTTTAAAAGGTAATTGAACAACAAATATATGATTATCACAAAATAATAATATAATGATAATGATATAATTTATGTTAGCCAGCATATTTTTATAACTAACATATTTATATTCTTGTAAGCGTCAAACGAGTAGTTATATTTTTGTGTTAAAAATATGGTTGGAGAGACTTGTTTTTGGGTGGTTTTTGTTATGTGAGTCGGAGGGTGGCTCCGATTACCATGACGAAGCGTGAAGCATGCCACAACCACAACAACTGCGGCAACCATTAGCCTACACATATCCTGGTTGTCTGTCGTCGGCTCTGCTACGCTGCTCTCCAACCAGCCCGTCCGTCTGTTTGTCCAGCCGGTCGCGCCACTTTATTATGCAACAACGACAGCAACAACACGACATTGTCAGTTGGCACACGAGCCACAATTGCTGTCCCACATTCGTATTACTGAGCAGAGGGTGCCAGGCGTTAAACGTCGCCAGTTTGATCAATATGTTCCGGGCAGGTTTCAGCTTTAGAAAGCAGTCAGCTACAATACGTTTCAGACGCATTTCTCACATCATAAATTCAGCAGAAAATTAATTTTTTTTTATTAAGAAAGTGTGGAAAAATCCAAAGGCTCTAAAGTCCGTCAGGCGTGTTGGTTTTGGCCGCTTTGGTTTGGAGCATTCAATTAGTTTTTTGTTTCCTTTTTAAATTTTGGTTTTTTTTACCTTGGTTCAGCAGATTCTGAAAGATGACTTCGGTAAGAGTGAAAGAGATAATATAGATTGCCTGGGTAGACTCAATCAATAATCTCTTTGCAGATTGAATCAAAGCGCGTGCAATATCGCAAGTACCTGGAACGGGCGGGAGTTATTGATGCTCTAAGCAAGGCGCTGATCAAGCTCTACGAGGAGCAGAACAAGCCCGAAGATGCCATTCGATTTGTGCGTAAATTTATGTGCGAGAGCTGCCCGGACGATGCCCAATACGACTTGATGAAGAATGATTTGGAGGAGGCCAAAACGACAATAGCTCGCCTGGAGCAGGAATTGGAACGTCTGCGTGGACAAATGTAAGTGGAGCGTACTAATATGACCTGATGTAATCTAAAATTCACTTGGATTTTCTTTCGTTATGCAGCAAGAAATCACCTGAGGAATACCAGGAGCTTACCATGGCTGGCTACAAATCTCTTATCGACGACGAAGAGAACGTCAGCTCGCTTTTGCGTAAATATCTGACGCCTGAACTATTAGAGGAGTACATGCTGGTGACTACGTCGTCACCAGTGGATGCATATCTGTATGATTGTGCCGTTTCTGGCTTTGAGCATCACGACTCGGCTATGGGCATCTATGCGGCGGACGCCGAGAGCTACGATGTGTTTACCAAGCTATTTGAACCGATTATCAGGGAGTATCATGGCCAGGAGGAGAACGAAAGCGATGTCCTGCAGAAGGACATCGACTGGGGAAATGTGGATGAGATCGAGAATCTGGATGCGGAACGCAAATATATACTATCTGCACGTATTCGCATTGCCCGCAACATTGAGGGCTTGCCGTTCTTCCCCAAGCTAACGGAGAAGCAACTGATCGAGGTGGAGGAGAAGGTGCGTACCGCAACGGAGACCATGGATGGCGAACTGATAGGCACCTACTTGACGCTGGCTGATATTGACTCAGAAACGCAACAGGAGATGGTCAAGAGACATATACTGTTCCAGCGAGGCGATCCATATCTGCAGACCGCTGGCTGTTACCGCTTTTGGCCCACCGGACGCGGTGTATACCATAATCCTGCCGAGACGTTTTTGATTTGGGTCAACGAAGAAGATCACTTGCGTATCATATCAATGGCACAGTGCGGTGACCTGGGCGATGTATATCAACGCCTCGTCACTGGATTGCAGGAGCTGGAGAAAAATCTAACCTTTGCGCGCCATCCGAGCTATGGCAATCTGAGCGCCTGTCCCACTAACTTGGGCACCACACTGCGCGCCTCCGTGCACATTCGTCTGCCTCTCTTAAGCAAGGATGAGGAAAGATTAAAGGCAATGTCAGAGGAACTGTTCTTGCAGATACGTGGCACTGGCGGCGAGCACACCGCCATCGAGGATGGCGTCATGGACATCTCGAACAAGCGTCGTTTGGGTTTCACCGAGTTCGAGCTGGTCAAGTCCCTTCAAGACGGCATTGTGGCGCTCATCAATGCCGAGGAGGAGCTTGAGATAGCCGGTCAGGAGGGTTAGTCTCGCCCAGCGATAGCAACAAAACACAACGTAGACAGAATATGGGGCTGGATGTTCGGTTTTACTCTAAACAAATTGGCTTGTCTATCATATTGTTCAAAACAAGGTACATTAATATTCGGTTTAATAAATTTGAGCCCCCTGGAAAAAAAGTTGCTTATATCACGAATGAAACCATCAAAGAAATGGTCGGTGGATCGGTTCACACCAACTTCCTGGTTTATGTTCGGCAAGTGAACCTGCCCCTTTTACTTGATGTGTTGTCGCGCGCTATATTTGATCTGATTTTTTAAACTATCAAATTAAAAACTTATATGGCATTTCGGGATAGAAACGGATATAGGTGCAAAGCCGTAGTCTATCATGTCTATCACTTACTTTCCAATCCTCCTCGTCGTCCTTTGAGTTGCGCTGCACCTTGCCGGTGACCTTAAACCAACTGGATTTGGTTGAGGTTTGAATATCTAGGATGACGTTCCATTTGTGAAGGGAGTCCACAATTTGTGTCTCATCAGTGTGCTCCAGTGTGAATTGAATTTGCTTGCCTTTCAGCTCCGATGTCTTGAGCACATCCTCAACGCAGATGTTGCCATCAATCTGTAGTTGATTGAGTGGGGGTTACCTAACGCCCAAATTTGGTAAACTCCAAACACTCACCCTGGTGGCATTTTCATTGTACATTAACAGGGTAAAGTTGCGATTATGTCCCAAGTGTATGGAACTCAGCTGAGTAAAGCCAAACGTGTACATCATCAGACTGACGATCATGTTGCGGGAGAAGCCACTGTAATGACAGGGGAGAGGGCAATTGATCAGTTTTAACTTCCACTTTATTTTTTGTGGGGTGCTCTACTTCTCTATGAACTCGGACTTGAGCACCATGCCCCGGAATTTGATTAGCTCATTAAGATTTACATTGACCTTCAGTTTGACTCCCAAGTCTGGCAGGGCATAGCTTAACGGCTGGAACTGCAGAAGTGGATTATAATACCAAATGTACATGAAATGATTAATGATAATTATTGCAGTGCTTACCACTTCATTAACACGCTCTGGATACATAATCTCCTCGAATGGTGCGGCGGCTGTTTTGGTCATCAGGCCGCGAGTTGTGGTCACGGCCCGGGACTTAAAGGACAGCCCACTGGTCAGGTTCTGGGGACGCGTAAAGCTATAGCGGGCACACCTGCCACTCTCGTTTAAGGTCAGCTCACTGCTGAATGGTATGTAGATGAGGAAGCCCTGCTCTCGATTGATTTCATGATCGAGATTAAGGAACGGATTGTAGCTGCGGCTGCGCACCGAAGCATACGACGAGTAGCGTGCATCGATTTCCAGCGTGTGCTTCGTACCGGGCGGTGTACGGTGCTCCGTAATATTGCCACGCAGCGATGTGAGCACCGTTGTCTGCAGCAGCACATCGGAGGATGTGCCCAAGACAGTGGGCACTGAGTACTTGTTCATAAATGGCCAACGCACTGTCTGCATGTTAATGTGACTATCGGTGCGGATCAGCAGTTGCAGGCGATCCAAGACTAATCGGATAAAGTGAATAGAGATAAATATATCGATCGAGAGAGCGAGAGAGAGAGTGAAAGTTTTGTATACGGTAGCTGGTTTTACCCGACTTTTCATGGGTTAAATATTTATTGTCAATATCCACTCCCTTGTGAAAGGTGAAAAACATACTGACTGAACGGGTTTTCAAACCGGACAGAAACTTTACAGTCGTCGTATTTCATGTTCCGCGCAGTAAAGTGGATTTTCTGTAAATTGATGGGTTTTGGGGGTGGATTTTGCAAAGATTTTAATACTCGTTTACAAAGCGAAGAATTTGTTAATCTCGTAAATAATCCGTCTACCTGTCCACCCAAACATTTATTTGTCCATAAGTTTCTCTGGCCGTCCGGCTGTCCGCCTCTTGCCCACCTGTCCATTCACCCGTCTGTCCGTGAGTATACAACCAATTTTTTTCAGCATTTGAAACTTATAATATAAATTATGTAAGCTTGCGTCAGATAAAATTTTAAGATTATGCGACTACGCCCACTGAGGCAAATATGAAATTTTGAAAGAAGTCTACGGATATTTTCTAATATTTTGGCTACGCTTACTAGAAACGTGATAAATTGCTAAAATCCATATCTGTGTATTACACAGTCGTTTGCACCCTATCGGTAATTGGGTAAACAAAAGAATGTTTCTTGCATCAATTTCCACTCGTTTTTCAGCTGTGTGATATTTCGTGGACATAGAATGGAAAACTGATTCTCTCCATAAATATTTTTAGGCTAACTAAGCATACTTACTGTTATCGTAGGTCAGTTGCTGGAACATGCGCTGATTTAGATAGTAGGAGAGCACAGTTTTGCCTTCCATTTGCAATATGAACTCGATATGCAGATTCTTTGAATTGACAATGGGAGCTTTTAGCATGGCCAGCAATGTTTTAATGCTCTTGTAGGTAAACGGGTCGGAGTTGTTGGATTTGGACTGCACCGTCTGCCAAATGGCATCGGGTAGGCCACGCGCCTTAATGTACAGCTGAAAGGAAGTAATTGAGCATTAAAAAGCAGACCTTGGATAAGTCTAAGAGTGTAACACACCGCCAGCTGACCCGTAAATTTTCCCAGTGCCTCAGTGTCAAACTTGAAATATACCACGACGGGCATATCCGACTTAGGATCGCCGACAAGGAACGTTTGGAGCATGGCTCCAATGCCGAACTTGGAGTCTCGGTAATCAAATATGTAATTGCCTGTTACCCAATAGCGGGGCTCCGGTTTCTGGGGTAGATGACGATGCATGTAGGAAAGCAGGCGACGACTGAGAGAGAGAGAGAGAGAGAGAGAGTGAAAACTGGAGGAGTTAGAAACAGAGCAAAAGGGTTCGAGATGAATACAGATCCTTGCACTTACAGATGCTGATAGCACGGATATGTTGTCTCTGAAATGCTCGTGACTGTTGTGCGATAATAGTTGATCAGATGTGGATCGGTCTCGCTTTGTATAATGCGATGAATGCTGATCAGTCGCGCAGCCGTTGGATTTGAAATCAGGAGCAGGGTGACAGCAGCGACCCGCAGCTCCAAGCTGGCGTTGCGTGACTCAAAAATAGGCCAGTAGATCTCGTAGATGCGTTCAGCACGCTTGTCGGCCAAAGCGAGTGTGGTCCAGGCAGCCATAAACCTAAGATCCTCGTTGCCATCCTCCAACACAATGGGCTCCAGATAGTTGGCCACATTGCCTAGCTGCAAATTGCTAAGGCCCTGTAGAAACAGCATCTTCTGTTCATAGTCACGATCATCTGCGGTTGGATAATAGTTGTTTGATAGCTTAAATTTCTTATAGGATAGGTCGGAAGCACTACTTACTTAAGTACATATTGAAATACTTTTGCACATATTCCTCAAACTGATCCTTGTCAATGCCACGCGCCACATAGACGTTATAGACGAGTGTGGCAAAGCTTAAAATTGCCGCCTGCCGCACATCGGGACGATCGGGTCCGATACTGAGAAAGTCTTCGCACTCCTTCACCAGCTCCGCTGACAGTTCAAATATGTGAAAGGGCATTGGAATTAGCAGCTGCACCGCAATGGGTGACTTAATGGATTTCTCAATGACCAGATGGCGAGTTAAAAATACTGAGGCTTTCGTCCCGATGCGCGGTATAATCTCGTGAAAGATATTTCGTATTGTCTCCTGCCGATACGAAGTGCCAATGTCCACTTCCGTATAGAGTTTCTTTAGCGATTCAAAATCCATTTCACTGAGCAGCTTGATCACATCGGATAGTGTGGAGTCGTAGGGCTCATTGAATTTAAAATCTGTACTCTCCAGTGCCTCGGCTAGGTTGTCCAGCAAGCCAGCTGCGGCCGAGATCAGAGTCTCCTGCTGCTGTGGATTGCGTCCGCCGGTCGGATCGTTGATTTCCAGCGGTTGCAGTTGCAAACTTGATATTTCTGTAGCCATTGATGTCTCAATATCAATGGGATTGTCGATGGGTGTTTCATTTTGAAAGTTTAGCAAAAGCCTGTAAATTAATAAAAGCTTAGCAATTGTCATATACCAAGATTAAAGCTCAACTTACTCCGAGTTGATGTATTGCGCCTCGCCCGTCGACTCGAAGGTATGGATCAGCGTAGTGCCCTTGGCATGCGCCATGCTCAGGAAGTAGCCCGTCCCATTGTGTGGCAATATGCCGTAGATGGCCTCATTGCCAATGATCACGCTCTTCTGATGATCAAATTCACAAGTGTTTGGGGGCACATTGCTGCGCGTAACATGGATAGCTTCCGAATAGGGCACACAGGTCTTGAGCTCCGGCGTTTTCCGTATGGATATGTAGTTTGTCTTGTTGGAGACAAAATATTCGGTCTGGCACTGGCCGTGTATGCCCGTCTGAAACATAGAGATGCAGCTTAAAATGAAAATCATTGGTATATTGTGATAGTGAGATCTCTAACCTCGTCCACCACAAAGGCGCCACTGGACTTGATTTGAAACTGCAGTGTGCTGGCAATGGCGCGCTTGAAGTTCATCGACCAAATGGGATCGCCCTCCTTGAACACCACATGGGATATGGTGCCCTCTCTGGTCAGTATGATCTTGAAGGGCTTATATGGCGGATACATTTCCTTGTTCTGAAGAAACTTTTCGCCCGAATTGTTGAGCGTTACATCGTCTATGACCAGCTGGATTGTGGTTGCGCAAATGAAAGCGAAGGCGAACAATTAGTTATAATGTATATTTGTAAATATGTATGCATAGGTCGGGAAATCCCGAGCCACTGTAATCTCCAGCCCATACACGCTTGCACACTGCGGGCAATCAGCTGTCTTTACTGATAGAATACGCTGCGTTTATCTTAATACAAACAATTCGATATATTTGGCATGCCGAAGATTAAATACCCTTGTTGACAAACGGCATCATACTACATACATACATTAAAACAAACGCTTTGTTTAGGACCGATCTTGCTCTTATATAGAGAGGAAAGTAAAACTCGTAAATGCACAGCACTATGTTAAGTCATATGGCAGCTATATGATATACTGGTCCCATCCGACCGACAGATGAACTGTCCACAACAAAGAATCCACTATGGGAATTGTTTGCATAGAAACACACATATGTAGTTATATCGC